GGTTCCGTTGATCATCATCTGGCCTAATCATCAGACGAGATCTCTCCATCCGAATGATTAAGTCGAATTCGGCAAGCGCCTTGTCAACCGCAGCCATTTTTGTCCATCATGTTGATGGATCCAACAGAGGAGTTGTCCTCGTTGTCGGAGTCGTCGACTTGCCTTGGCAACTGGTTGCATTCGCTTTTCTTCTTGTGATCAGCTTTGACCGCAGCGTTGGAGACTTTCTTCATAAGGACAGGAAGTTCCTTTTGGTGTTGGACTTGGCGTCGTCGGACTTGCGTTTCCAAGTCTTGTTCTTTTTGTACGCTGGCTTGCTATCGTTGTCAGACGAGGACTGAGACTTGGCCTTGAGCTTCTTCAGAGTCATGCAGTCAGCAGTGTTGTGAGTGGTGGACTCGTGGTAGTCGCACCATTTTTCTTCGTTCTTGGGAGAGTGGTCGTTGTTGCGAGTAGACTTGTACTTCTTGCTGTTGTTCTTCTTCGAGGAGCTTGCTGGCATCACCGCCCTTGTAAAGTCTTCGGAGGATTCCATGCTTCGCAGAATCCAATGGTTTCTCCGATAGGAGCTGGAAAGGATCGAAGTCGTGTTCGTCCATCTTCTTCATCCACCGAGCGTGGAATTCCATGACAAACAATGTCAATGACTTCGTCATGGTTCAATGTTTGGTTGGGTCCAAAAGGTGGTAGACGAGGAAGTTCATCGGCATTCATCCACTGAGGTTGTTGACATAAGCCGAGTAGACATATCAGCAGGCTTACGCATCTTGCGGCGCATGAAGCGTTTCTGCTTTTCAAGAGCCTTGTAGGGACAGACCGCTTCGACACAGGCATTTATGCCAACGTAATGTCAGAGTCGTCCAAAGCAGGCTGAGCTGCTCCGTTCCAGGCACTGGAAACGGCTTGGAAGCGGCTTCGTCTTCGCGCCACGTACTCGCGTGGGCAATCCCGTTGACTGCATCTGGCGCAAGGCATTCCAACGTATTTCACGATGGCCTGCACAGCTAGATTCGTAACTGCTCTTGGCAGAGCTAGAAGTCATCTCCTTGAGGAGGTGTATGTTTGTCTTCAGGCGTAGCAATGGCGAGCCCGACGAAGACCTTCTCCATACGTCCAGCCACTTGATGGTTTGACGTGAGTCTCAGATCCATTGATGATTTGGACCTTGAAGGTTTACTTGGGCTGTTAGCATCTGCTGGAATAGTGCGAAGTTTGTAGGTGGTAGCGCGAGAATCGTCGATTTCGCATTCATCGTCGAGGTCGATGAGAGGAAGGATTGGTTTGTCGCGCAGCTTAGACTCGAAGCTGGTGTACGCGTCTTTAGCAATCTTCATGGTGAGGAATAGGTTGAGGGTAGCTGAAAGCTATTGTGTTTGTTAACAAAATGCACTACGCTAAAAGCTAGTGTAAAGATCTTTCGAGTGTTTTGAGTTTGAGAGAATGAAAGTTATGAGAGGATTAGAAAGCTATGAAAACTAATCAACGAGAGAGATCCACAATCAAAGGATCGTAGATCTGAACTCCCGCGGGAGACTGTAAAGTGTGATAGAGTAGGTGCGGTAGCAATCCTACTCACTCCACGATCCAAAAACGGAACGCGTGGAAGATTCGTCTAGCATTTACTACGGATTCGGGAAGAACTGTCCTTTTCCATGCTCCGAAGCGGATTTCCCACCCTCGGAAGGAGATTTTCCTTCCCAGTACATAGGCTGTGTAGATTTCTACGAGAGCCGTAATCCGAACTCCTGGTCAAAATCGCCTGTGATCTTTCTCCGCTGACTCTATCCTTAAACAGGGAATGTTCCTTAAGTAAAGCTCAAAGAAAATCGCCTTCCGGTCTGGTGAAATTGGCTTGGGAGGGTGGCAAATCCGCTTCCGGTCCTGGAAAAGGACAGTTCTTCCCGAATCCGTAGTATCTAGTAGCGTGGAATCTCTCCACGCCAGCTAAATATCTAGCGCGATGTTTCACCATTGACCTAGTATGACTAGCGGTCATGAGAACCCTGTCTCAATGACTATTCACGAAAGACTCAGTCATGAGTCGAACTCAAACCCTATCTAGGATCGAGTCGCGAATAAGGCTAAGAGCCGTGTATTGCACGAGCCTCGGCTCGTGGGTCGTCCTACAACACTATCTGGCTGCGTTGCATTGATCCACTAGCCAGCAATGGCAACAGCATTGACAATTTTAAAATACAAAACGTTGTCGCCTTGGCTACCGTACCGGTATTGCCTACTCTGGAGTACATTACTGAGGAGGACTGAGCTTCATGATACCGTTAGCTACTACTACCGGTAGCTAGAAGGCACGGATTTCCGAATGTCATTCCGGTTCTCAGTACATCTTAATTTTGTACGTAGACTGCCCGTAATGTACTCACAGCTCACAGCACGTACCGGAAAAGATCAATACGGCAGCGGTACCAGTAACTGTTAATAGTCAATCCCGATTTCCTTTCTTTCCCCTCCCTCCTCTCTCTAGAGGAAGATAGGATTTAAAAGTAAAGTCTGTGTTCTAAGCCATTTAAGCATGATTTTTACAAAATAAAGAATCTGAGTTCTTATTGGATTTAACATACAGGTTTCCGGTGACATTCTTAAATTCAGTAACTGGACCTCCCCTTTCTTTTACACCGGAACTTTGAGAGACGAAATTTGTGTTGTTCTTTGGTTGCCGAGCGTGTGCTGTGGGGTGTGGGGACTTGCATCGCCGACCACCGAGGTTGTCGGCGTAGATCAACAATCAGCATAAGTTGGAGTGGTATAGTTTTTAACAGGGAAACAACAACATCAAAGAAGCAGCAGCACCATGGGATATTCCCCGGAGCAGCTGAGGATCTTGGAGATCAACGCCAAAGTCTCTGGATCCATTTCGATACTGGGATCGTCTCGATTGGTGTACGAGATTTTGCGCCATGAGAGTCTTCGCAGCAGCAACAACAGCCCGCCAGGACAGTCCGTGTCCAACATGAATACGAAGCGAGGATGTCTACAGATGATTTCCGTATTACACCAGATCTTGTTGGGTATGTCTCTGTTTGATATTGGGGCCAGCAGCATGTACTTTGTGGGAAGCTGGGCCATTCCGAGCGACGTCGAAGGCAACCAGTTCCAACCGAGCGGGACGGATGCCACTTGCACCGCTCAAGGGTTTTTGTTCCAAACCTTTGCTTCCGCCATTCCCTTTTACAACCTGAGCTTGTCCATCTACTACTACTTGACCATCAATCACAGCTGGAAAGAAGACCGCATGAGGCGCAGATGGTTCGTCTTTCATATTCTGCCTTGTACCTTTGGAATCCTGACAGCCACCTACGGAGTCGCCACACAACAATTCAACCCTAACGAACTCTGGTGCTGGTTTACGGGAACGGAGCAATCGAATTTGCTTAAGTTTCTCTTCTACTATGGCGTGCTCTGGGTCATCTTCGCCGTCATCATCACCTTGTTCGCCCTCATGTACAGACATGTTCGAAAACAGGAGACCGCTATTCAGCGCTACTCCTTTGCCAACATTGCCTTGCGGCGGGCATCCGACCAACAGGGCAGCATGCAGAACGAGGACCATAGTGCCAGTGATCATATGAGTCAACATATGCAGGCCGCGCTGCAGGAAGAAGAGCGGAAGGCTCGGAGACTCTCCCGTCCAATCTTTATCCAAGGCCTCCTCTTTACCATTGTCTTCTTCATCACATTCTTCTTTCCCACGCTCTTTCGAGCCCTTCAATTCCATTACGACCAGATTACGTTCTTTATTCCCTTTATGATGACGCTCTTCTTGCCGCTACAAGGATGCATGAACTATTTGGTCTTTAAACGACAATTCATACAAAGCTTCTTCTGTCGCCGAAGCAACCGAAAAAACCGGAACAGTATCCAGGCGCTCCCCAACAGCAATAGAAACAACACCGAGAATGGTGGTGGTGCAGCTGATGTTGCCAATATCACTGCCCCGTCCGAAGATCGTCGCAAACAGATGATGTTGAATCCCCACAGGCGTCGATCTGGATTTATCATTTTGGGTACCGAATCACAGAATGAATTGGACAACCTCAAAGTGACAGCCCAAAGCATGCGTATGCCCACCATCGATGCGGCGCCTACTCCTCCTGCGGATATCATCTTGAAAGAACAGACTCTCACTGAAGAGCTGGAAATCATAGAAAACGACTTTCCAGTGGACCAAGACCTCCAGGATGATGCTGCTGCTGCTGTGTTGGGCGAACAGACGGACGCTCCCACCACCACGAGCTCGACACGGACCAACGAAGACACGGACGCACTATCAGACCACAACGACGCCATAACAGACAACCATGAAGCAATAACAGACACTGACGATGCAATCGACGGATGAATAGAGCGAAGGCAACCATGGATTTTGATAGTCATGCTTGCAAAACCCTACACTTACACTTCGCTCACAGATCCATACGGCAGCGTCCAAACACGACAAGGTTTGGTCAACACGTCACATTATCAGTGGTCACTCAACTCTGCACGATCTCGTCCTTTGGCGTCGCAGTGGGGGCCGACTGCGGAACTACAAAAGGACTAGCACCTGCAATCCCCATGATTGCAGCTTGCACCCAAGACCCACCTCCACCACGAGAAGCGAAACATCGAGAGGCGACGAACAACTTTTCTGTTTATGGAGATTTCGACTCTGCTTGATATGTGACAATCTGGAATTGCTCGACGGGTTGTATCGTCCGTATGATGATCATCTCCACCCCCTCTTGCTCGCATATATTCTATGTTAAAAAGCGCTGCCTAACTATATAGACTTGGGTGATTGGGTTACATCGGCTGGATGGATAGGGATCACTTCGCCCTCGCGGCTTCGTCAATTACACAAGAGAGATCCAGAGTCGTGTCATCATCGGTTGCAATGGCAACGAAAATTGCGAAAACTGGGTGTCCAGATGGACACAGTATGGTCATTTGCTCGAAAGGGGTAAGAGAAGCATATTGCTTGAAACATACATACATGTACATACACTGCGGAGGTAACCAAGCATGTCAAGCAAAAGGAAATCCAAACTGTTGCGGACCTCCATCCAGGTTCAGCTGGTTTCGACCAGACCGGGGCTGGGTGGACTCCATCGTTCGTTGGTAAATTTCGCCATAGTGTCCAACCTGTTGGATACAAGATTGAAACATTGCCCTCAAGGGCACTCCGAACAAAAGGACTTCAGGCATGTCCATGTAGCGTGTCTGGCTGATCTCCTGCTCCTCAGCGAAAAACGTAGCCATCACAACCCAATAAACTAGCTTCGACCACTGAGGATCCCTGTGTCGTGTGACCAATGCAAATGCATCCGAGTCTGTACTGTAGAAGTACGGCGGAGAAAAGGTGAATCTCTTCCAAGATGTCTGCAGATTGATTGGTTGCGCTGCTAACGCATCCACATCGCCTACCGCCAGGGATTCCAAAGGATCTGCGACTTGCTCCAATAGTACATATTCATCCGTGCTACTGTACCCAAACAAAGCCGCAGCAAGAGCGCGGCAATACTCTATGCCGAAACGTTCTCTGGCCAACTCCAACGGACTCCCCTCCTGGGACACTCCACAGCGAAGATGTCCTCGTTGGATAACGGCATCAAGCGTTCCTCCTAGAAGGATGTCTCCTTGAATACCCAACTTTCCGAATGGGTGTGAGTAAATCAGACCTGTAGTATGGTTTTCTGGCATGTGGAGGCGATTCAAGCCTAGTCTCTCCGCGGTGTTGTCTCTTTCATACATTTCTCCAATGTTGCCAGTCTTGGAAATGATCCGGTACACCAGAGAACCAAAGTCGCCATACTCCGCAACCAGAGTGTCCGCATGGTCAGCAATATTGGCTTGGGTCAAGCCCTGTGCTTCTGCAGAATACAAGATATTGACGACCGTCTGAACGTGAGACGCAAACTCTACATCAGCCGCTCGAGTTACCAATGTCAATGGATCCTTGGAGAAAAGTTTGAGACCTTTCTTCCACTTTCCGGTGTAACCCGATTCTCGATAGACTTGTTCAAGTAGATTGGAGCTGTCAGCCGCAACCACATTGCAGGCGTCAAACTCTAAAAAGCTGTAAGTGTACGTGGCGGTATTGTTGGCGTGAATGATGCGAACAGGGTTGGGGAACAGATTCTCCAACTTGTCGGCGGTTGTGGTCTGGGCAGTTACACAAACAGTGAGATTGGCGCAGAGACCATTCGTGGAATCGAGGTTTTCAGCACATTCCACAAACTCTGGATACCCCGCAAAGCCCAGGCCTGTGTAGAGGTATGGGGCACTAAAGGTGAAGCTACCATTGGTGTGCCTTTCCGTAACATCACGCTCCATGGTTTGAGTTGTAGGCTCTGCCAGCAAATCGACTAACTTTGAGTGGAGAAAGTCAAAGCGAGTCGATGGTTTGACCAGAATGGGCTCGATTTTATTGTCCGAATCGTCGAGGATGGATGCTGCCACGGCTCGGCACTGCACAGGAAGGAAGTTAGGTGCATGCTGGGGGCAACATGATTTGACTCAAACGCTCCAACACTATGTATCAACTTACCAGATCATATTCCAGCCCTTGGTGTTGTCCAGCTGTCAAATTGAAGACGCTCACCCCACAACGAAGACTGTTCCGTTGTTTGATTTCACCAATCAATGTAAACCTGGTGGAGCCGCCGCCACTATTAGCAGTGGTTGTTTTAATCTGGTTATTGTCGCTTTGGCTGCTGTCTGTATTCCTTGACGCCAATCCAGCTGAAACCGCCACAACCACTACTATGAGCACAAGTCCCACAGCCAGAGGAATGACCCATGCTCGCCATTCTCCGCCGCTCTTGTTTGGAGCCTCGGCTGCGACCGATTGTAGTTCCTCCGAAGGTGAAACCACTTCGGCCAAGGGAGCACTGGCGTGAATCTCTTGAGTGATCCTTCTCTTAAGCTCGACTTCCTTTTCCTCAGGCGGTACCACCTCGGCGGCCACGGCAAGGATTTCTGACTTGTTTGACGAATATTCGGAAACTTCCTCAAATTGAGCTTCCTCGTCGTTCTGTCCATCCTCTGGAGCCGACAAGGTAGCTGTAGCAGCCCTGTCCAGCCTGACTGAGGGAAACCCCGGAGATCGGGCATAAGCGCCAGCCATCGCTTCCTCCTGCACAGTAGCAGATGGCGACGGAGGTGCTTCTGCCTTCTTGGATTTCTCTTTATCCTTTTTTATTTTGTCGTCTTCTTTCCCCTTGGCAAGGGCGTCTTCTGTCTCAAGCCCATCCGAAGAGGCTTCTTGTATTCGTTCCTGGACAATGGACAGCAAGAACTCGGAGTTACCGTCGTCCTCGATCTCTTTCGTCATTTTCAAAGGCAGTCAAACTGAAGAGCAAGGTTCCAATTCTATGGCTAAGGGAACATAAACTAAACGCAACTTTAGAAATATGCACGGTCATCAATCTTCCTCGACAGCCCACAGACCAAAGATTCTCGAGCGCATTATTTAGAGTCTGGAGCTGTTTCTGGAGTGAGTTCGGAAGGTTCTTTGTTCTTTGCTGTACCAGGTACTACAGTGGTACAGTGTACTTCTAATACCGGTAACCGGTACAGCTGTACAGCACCAGTAACAGGTACCAGGACCGTCCGACGGTTTCGGGTTAGGGATTAATTTCAGTCGTGCCTATGTCCACGTTTCGTTTGACACGGCTGAACTACCCCTTATGGCCAAGTTCTCCCTTAAATCCTCCCTTAATACCCCTTAACACTAAGGGAGAATTTCAAACTCTCCCTTAACGCTTTGGATCTCCCTTATTCTCCCTAATTCTCCCTTATCCTCCCTTAACGCTTCGAATCCTCCCTTACCCGTGGCTTCGACCACAACAACAACAACAACAACAACAACAACTACTGCTACTAGTAACACAACAACAACAACAACAACACTCGCGATCGATCGATACGAGCTAGAGAGGACTATACAGTCAGAGCTGCTACTATTAGTTATTGTTCTTTGCTTCCTCCTGCATCTCCTTGTAGAGCTCCTTCCATTTGTCCCCCTTTCCTTGCATTATTAGTTGATTGAAATACCGATTCGTTCGAAGGACTTGGTAGATGTGATCGCGAAAGACCTTCAAGGGAAACTCTTGATATGTATCGCGGCTTTCCCACAACTCCATCGGCTTCGTCTCATCATGTAGCCCTTCCATCATGTCAGTTTGTAAATCTTTCTGCGCCTGATGCCCTTCCCACTCCGGGTAATTTCCCTTGGCTGCAATGAGTGATTTTGGGTTGTTCTTCACAAAGATTTGTAGGGCTTTCTCATCTTCCTCTGCACGACTAACATTCCCACTGATTTGATCTCTGAGACCATCAAGACGCCCCTTGAAGAGGCGATATTCACCGGCCTTCTTGACAAGAGGAAGGCTGTCAAAATACCCTGCCAATTGGTCCTCTGTTTCTTCTTCCTCCGGGTTTAATTCAATATCCCCATTCATGATGGCTGCATAGAGCTGAGCCTTTGCATCACTGAACTGCCATCCCTGCTTCTTCTTCTTCTTTGATTTGGGTGGCATCGTTGCTTTGGGTTGCCGAAATGAATTCCCGTGGAACGAACGACCGATTGAATCGAATCATTCAATCGTTGAACAACGGTTCCAGTAGCTGGCTATCTAGCTAGTTAGATTTACGCGAGCTAGTATCGATTTTTTTCTTCCAATGGCTGACGTAATCGTTTTTGTTCTCGACGGCAACGTCATTGCACCAAGTATCTTTACTGGTCGTGGTCTCGCTGGGTAACTACTAGCTAGAGCTGCTGGGCTGGCTAGAGAGCACGAGTGCGTGCCGTACGGCTGTAGAATGGATACCAGAGTCATCGAATCGATGCATAGATTGGTGGGTTAGCCCCATGAAGACTCGTTCAAAGAAAAGTGTTCAGTTGAAGGAACCATTGACCCCTTCAGCAGGAACAACAGCAGGTACAACTCCTTCATCATCCTTCTTGAGTCCAGACAACAGATCAGTGTATAGTGGAACAAGCACGGGAAGCAGGCGACCGGGGCTGGCTTTGCACATTCAGAAGCAGCTTGTGCGTGATATTGAAAACAAGTGGAGCGGAGGCATCTTAGCTCTCTCCAGCAGAGCCAAGAACAAGTCCCATCTTCTAGCCACTTTGTTAGATAAGAGGACCGAATCTGATATCGAATCCGGGCAGAAACCATTGTATGGGAATCGCGGAGATCCTGTTCGGGTTCAGATTGGCAAATACGTTGATCGTTGGAAGAAGCTCAGTCGAGTTGAGTGGTTGGAGAAGCTGGATTCTTTCGATCTGACGAAGTCTAGCAACAAGAAGCAACCAGGAAAACAGCTTTCTTTTGACCAATACAGGAACACGAAAGAAGAGTCGGAAGAGTCGTCTTCGTTGTCGTCCAAAGACGAGTCGATGCCATCAGTTCCCACGGTGACAAGAACTCGACGCAAAAGTAGCAGGAAGACAAAGAAGCAAGAGCAACCACCCATCGAGGAGATTAGCACAAAGCCAGCAGGAGCACCCGAGGAAGAAGATTTCTCCATCATTACAACCACAGACATTTCTACCGGTACCATGAACGATTCTGTTGTCCCAACCCGTAAGTATGCCAGCCACCAGAACTGATTGTGCGACTGTCTCTCATGCAATTGCCAAATCCTTTTGCATTCTTCTTGCTGCTGCTACCACAGAGAACATCCCGGTGGATATGCGTCATCTTTGGAAGACAGCAGCTCCATTTACCATCTACACAGCCGAGAACATGAAAGGAGGCAATGAAAAGTTCAAGGGCTTCATTATTGAAATGAAAGTAGATCCCCATGATGTCTTTGGAGCTGACGACGAAGAGGAAGGATTCCCATACCAGGCCCGTGTTCTTACAAACGACACAATTGTGATTGACGCTCCTCTCAAGGGACATCAAGCTATGGGAGGTTATGATGAGGCCATTGGCAAGATGTTGAACGAAAAAAACGAGGACGATAAAGTCTTGTTGGAAGCATTTCAGAATGGCCGAGTTGAATTCGAAAGGGCTGTTGCCGCTCATGGGAAAGTCAACAAGATGGTCTATCGGCTCAAGTTTTCTGGCAGGGATGTGGAGCTCAGCGCTGAAGCTCTTGACATCCATCCAAAGAACGACACCCATGTCTTGCAGATGGAAGCATTGCCTTTATCGGTTCCGGTTGTACATCTCAATTCAACGCCGAAAAAGACTACGATGGTTGTTGAAGAAGAAACTGAAATGGAAGAGGAAGTGTACGTCATCGACCATTTTTGGGCGGGGAACCTCATTTGGAGGGTTGCCGACAAGTCTCAAAGCACCCGCAAGGCTAAGGGTGGCAAGAAGGGAAAGTCGAAAACGGATGCTGCTGCTGCTATGTTCGGACGTATGAACATCAGTTGAGTTGCTTGGTTCTCTCTGTGACAACTGCTGTTACTTCTCCCGTAGCTAACAGTAAGGAAAATTGTGTTTGTTTCAATTTACGGTGCTCTATACAGGTAGCCCCACCACGGCTCAACATCATACCACTTCTAGTAGTCGAACTAACAAGGAGAAAAGTGATCGTACAAGTCATTCTGCATTGGTACCAACCTCCAATACTGCTGTGAGTGGAAACGGAAACAGAAAAAAGCAATCGTCTCTGCTGGCTGCGGTGGCAAAGGGGGATGGAAAGAAGAACAAAGTAAAGGACGACGAGGGAGAAAAGATGATCAATCGCCTCGTTGCCGAGGGCACTGAACTGTCGGCAGCTGCAAGTATGGAATTAGACGATGTCCTGGGAAAACGCAACCGTGGTGTAGACGAAGACGATGGCAACGATCGCACTGATGATAAGGCGGTCTACGAGGCCGATTACTAGAAATATCAAATAACACAAATCAATTTCTCTACTAGTAGTTAGAATTCCCCGGCATAGACGTTCCAAAGAGGATATCCGTTCTCCAATTGATACTGGCAAATAACAATGACGGCCTCAAAGCAATCCACGGCTCTTTCCGTAGAATGTCGGAAGTCTTGAACCAAGACCTGGAAGCATTTGAGCATATTGTTGAATTTCTCGTGTCTCTTGAGAGCCCGTCTTTTAAACTTTCTCACACCAGCAGAATCATGCGAATTGGGTGTGCTTACAGCATCCTGATCTTCTTTGGCAAAGTAACCTCCATCGGCAATAGCTTTCTTTCCAATAGAACGAAGCTTGTCCCGAAGACCACCGGGCTCGCGAAACATCACAACATCGGTCCACACACCTCCCTTTCCAGAAGGTCGGAACTGCAAAACTTGGCTTGTCGTGAGAGAAAGAACCACTTCGGAATTATAGCCGGCCGTGTGGTGCTTGAAATCATACATTTGGGGATCTACGGCAACATCGGGATGCTGCTTTTCCCACGAGCGGGCCATTGTTCCATCAACACTGCAGATCCAAATGTCATCTCCTTCTTCATGATCAAGAGGCCAAAAGATCTTCTAGCCTTTGAGAGCCGCCATTTTCACAACAAAAAACCAAATCCAAGTGCGGGTTGTTTGAGCTCGCTTTTGATAAGCTGCGTTGCGCTCAGTTTCAGTTGGGTATCTCTTCAGAAAATGATGAGTCACAAAGTAGTAGTTAAGCTTAAGCTTTTCCTTGGGAACCCTCGCTTCCTCAATCTCAGTTGTTTGAAGGTCCTCCCAAATCTCACAGAGAACGATGGGATCAGAGCCATAACGACTGCGAAATTCGGTGACCTGGGATTTGAGCTGCCACTTTGACATTCTTTTCTCCGAATAGCCAGCTAGTAACAAGCCCTCCTTCAGCATTTCATCGGTAGTGACTACAGAGTGGATGTTAACATCATAGTCATCATCAGGTTCAGCAACAGCAGCCGCCATTGTGCCTATCTGTTGCTCTTGTTGCTTTGGTTGTGGTGCTTACGCTGCTTTCGTAGTCATCTGACTGTTGCTGTACGGTAAAAACTTGCGTCACAGCTGTTGTTTATCGTCGTGTTTCGATTTGAAAGCGTTAACGCATCAATTGAACTCTCCCTTAAATGCTCCCCTATTATCCCCTGTTATCCCTTATTATCCCTTAGCGTTAAGGGACAATTCCGAATTCTCCCTTAGCACCTCGACTCTCCCTAATTCTCCCTTATGTCTTCGAATGCTCCCTTAAGTGCAGAATTTTCAAAATCGAAACTTACACTAGGCACGACTGAAATTAATCCCTAACCCGAAACCGTCGGACGGTCCAGTCTTTTATCAGCTCGTTTGCTCTTTTACCTTTTATCACAGTCCATCGATAGATCGATAGTTTCTGATGTGATCATCCGGAATCCGGAAGGTTCTGCTACTTTCGAAATCATTTACAGCGTACCGGTTACTTGACTATGGCATATCTATCAGCATAATCAGCATGCTCCAGTGTTCCAGTTTTGAGGGAAAGATATCATAAGTCTAAAAAGTCTACGTGGTTTAGGAGATGTTCGATTGCCGTGAATCGCGGGAGTTGTACAGGTATGTACTCCTGGCCACTGGCCACTGGCCACCAGTCTGTGGACCAAAAAATGAGGGTTAATCATTCGATTGAGATTCGATACATGTACCTGGTAGCAGTTTCTTGTCCTCAAAGAGATGGAAGTGGTGTGGGAGTCATATGCAAAGGGCAAATACAAGATTCTTGCGAGGACAGCTCGGAGGTACCGGTATCTTCCTTGCTGATCTATCCTGGCTTTTCGCCACATGGTAAGTTCAGGGGACAATAAACAAAGGCACGCGACTTTCGGAGCCTTGACGAGAGCGCCCACCCCCAGCTTCCCGACCAGGCGAGGGTGTCAATTGGTACTATGCTACCCCGGTGCGAGCCCCAGCATTTGCCGTGACTTGAAGCATCCAAGCAGCATGCGCCACACTTAGATTGACAATTTGGATTGCTTCATGGCTGGAGAGACGTTGAAAGCAACAATCTGAATATCCAGCAAGAGGCGCCTGTCGCGACACACTACAATTGGGGCTGGTTTCCACGAAAAATTGAAAACCCATTGGCGAAATGCAACTGCGGAAGCAGCGGCATCTGCGCCTTGTGCAACTGGAGAGCCAGCAAGCGCAAGGGCAGCGTGAAACTCAGCATCAGATGCATAGTCCACAAGGAAAGCAGGGTCGTCAACCGACAAAAATTCAATCGACATAACAGCAACGTCTATATTCTTGGGAATGATGTAGTCATCTAAGAGGAAGAGCTCGTTTGAAGGAGGAGGCCACGGCTTTCGTTGCTGGACTGAACACAACGCAATTGATGTTAGATCCAACCCTGAAAATGCACATTGTCTGACCTATTTTCGAATATCAACTTACGAGATTCACCGCTAGACGAGGATGATGCAGGGGGCGTACTCATTGCTTCGCTGTACCGGTACCTGGTAGCCGACCTACTAGTGGCTAGCCAGTAGCTAGCGTGGATTGTTGTAGGTCCAGGAGTGCGTCCTTGAGTTGGTCCTCCCCGGGGTGACAATGTGGGGTGATCCACGCGTTGTACCTGGTGTGGGACTTGGGGTAGGTCGTGGTGTTGAAGCTGGTGTATGGTAGCTCTGGGTGTTGGTCCAGGGGCGGGCCCGATGGACAGGGTGTTGTGTGGGCTTTGAGATGGACCAAGTGTGAGACCAGGATCGGGGCCTTGGAATGGACCAGGCATACAACTTTATAATAGATCCTGGTGCGGGGCCCAGTTGGAGATCCAGGGGTTGGTTGAGCTGTTGGCACAGCTGTTGGTTTAGAGTGTTGGTGCAAGCGTTCGTGAACAGCATGAAGATGCTAGATTCAATAATTGATCGACCGAGGTTCTGGTGGCCATGTGCCCTTTCGAGCCCAGCACAAGCCGATTGCGGCACCTCTTGTGTGGGTCTATATCTCACTAGTCTGTTGCTAGCTGCTAGCTAGCCATTGTGTGAATAACTAGCTAGTTGTGTTTATACTTTTGCTTTTTTGTGTGTAAACAATACAGAGCTGCTGCTTGTCGTCCTCCTCCGTCGTTATTAGCATGCTCCATACAGCCCTTGTCTATGTCGTCTATTCGCTGTAGCCTCCTCCGTACATTGCTTTTCCTGTGCCATCAAAGCCTAAAGTTGTGTCGAGGAATCCACGTCACCATCAATTCCTTCATTCCAAGGTTCATCAGGCATGTCTTGCAACTTGTGCAACAATCTAATGGCCGGACTTCCGCGGTGCAAGCTGGTAACTTCAAAATCTGTTTGCAACCCCAGCCATTCCAATGGTCGAAGCAAGTTCATGTCTGTGAATCTCTGAAGATTCCCAAAGTCATAGTCTGGTACAACAATCAAGGAACCTGTACTGGCTTCATTTTTAAAGCGCAATTCCATCAGCTCGCTCCAGCATGTTGAAAACAGAGCATCATAGCATTCCACGCTACCCCCAGTGACTCCTTGGAGGACGTGAAAACGGGAGATTGCTAACAGTCTGCGTCCTTCTTCTAAGAATTGCAGATCATCGTCATCATCTTTGGTTTGTTCATTCACCGGTATATCAATTAAACTGGCTTCCATGCAATTCAAAACATCTTCCAGCACCTTTCGGTCGGCGTCACCGGTGGGAATCCCATCCAATCGTCTCCACGGGTCACTGTCTCGTGTATTGTCAAAGTCAAACGCCAACGTAGCAGCAGGATCCATCGAATTTCCAAGAAAGGTCATGGCTGGTACCGACGAACTTGTGGCAAAATCCAGAAACATGGGATGCCATTCTTCATTCGCGCTGAAAAATTCTCTCATGGCCGATTCAGTGTCGATCACGTCAGCGCGAGGAGTGGTAGCCACCTTGTCATAGGTCTTTTCAGGGGGTGCGCCTCCTCCAAATCCTTGGCCACCACCTCGGCCGCTGTTTTTCTTGCGGCCAGAACCCTTGGCAGCTAATGGAGTCTTTTGCAGAACATGAGATCCCACCTTGAATGAGGTAAAAGCCGTCGTGGGGGTAAAACAGAGCGCCCACACAATCACTGGAGAGGGAAGTAATCTCCGCAGGCTTTTTCTTCTTGTCATGGTCCCAGTTAGAAAGCTCTCCAAGAATTAGACTACTAGTAGTATGATGGATATCGCTTTGAAAGTCGTGACGATAGATACGAGCCATCAATGAGCCAACAAAGAAGGCGACATCTGTCAATGCGTGGTTCAGAATTCATCCAAGCAATGACGTGACGTCCGCGGTAAGCAGGCACATTTGGGTGTTTTCCCAGTCTGGCTGTTTTCCAGTGAAGGAACCTGACAACCTTACCTCTAAAATATATGTCACATCGGTACTCAAAGCTAATATACTTATTTCCCACGCAAAAGACACACGAACGACAGAACTCTCCGCCACTTCTTTCTGCTTTCCCCACATACATCATGTCCCCATGCAACACATCACACATCAAAGCCTCCTCCCGACGCAATAGAAGTCCTTCTCTTCACGAAAGTCCCAGTTGCTCCTGCCATCGTTGAGACCTGAGTGCGTTGGAATTCTCGCTGTTGCGCCCTTGGCAGCAGCTGGTTGAATAATTCAATCGGATGATTACAAAGGAGACGTGATTGCTGAATTGCTTCTATCGAATTTTCCACGATGGAGCTTCCCTTTGCTGTGGAATCTCCGGAGCGAACTTCCCAATTGCTGCAACCTACATCATTATCAGCTGGTGATGTAGTCAGTGATGACGGTTCATCGCTAGTCACGGCCTCGTCTCAAGGTAGTTTCCTGACTTCCGCTTCGGGAATGGATGCTGCCAACGGTCCCTCAGCTTTCGCCCACAGACCACCACCACCACCACATCATCATCCACAACCGACAACAGCACATATAAATCCTCCCATGGCAACGGTAGTTCCGTCTCACCATACTGCAAGGCCAGTGGTTCAGCCAGTGGTAGCAGCCCATGGACATCCTGCTCCATTGATTTCGCCATCACCACCAAGTCGTGCTCCACCTGTCGTGGCTCCACCCATGCCAACATCAGCTCCTCGTCCAAGTGGCAACAACACTAGTAGGACTGGTTCTGGTGGTATCACCAGTGGCCTTAATATCTTTGGAAACTTGAGAGTGTTCGGGTCATCCAAGCCCAGTTCATCCAAGCAGCAACAACAACACACGGATCACACAGAAGCGCATAAGACATCCCTGGAAACGATTGACTTTACATATGTCAATGTGTGTGAAACAGATGCTGATGATGAAGTAGATATCACTCTGAGTGGTCAACTCACTGCCATTGATGGACCCTTAGGAGGAGAGACGGAAGGAACCGAATCCAAACGAGATATTCTGACCCTATTGCTGAGTGGTGCGGTCCAACAAGACGGAGACGCTGACAATGAATCATTAGTGGTATGTATGCCCACGGTGCTGTTTGTTTCTGCATTGCGTTATCCGACTTGAAAACTAATGAAACGATTGCCTTTCAATTCAAAAACCCAGCGTCAGTGCGAAGAGGCCCATCAAGCGGCTTGTATGGCAGCAGAAGCCAAGCGAGAAGGAGACCTGCAAGGCGCCTTGGAGGCACATACTCGAGCAGCAAAACAATTCCATGCAGCTGCCCTAATCGTAAAGGATCGAAATGGTGAGAGGCTACGGTCCATCATCTTGGAATCTGCAGAGTCTTTTTGTCGCTAACAACGTGTTGCGTTGCTACCCTGCTCCATGTTATGTGAAACTGTCAATCCCAGTCCCAATGGCCAATTCTTTGCTGCTGCTGAGTCAAACACAAGCAAAGTCTGCCTTGGCACTGAAGCGCATTGTTAAGCAATCGCCCATTCCACATGACAGCAATCCAGCAGATGCCAAGAACCCACGTTCCAAGATCATAACTCACAAAGATCGTCTTAGGGCGGCTGTGCGAGGTGCCCTCGTGACACGCAACAACGAAGAGGAAATGTCCGATTCAGCATTCTTGGGAAAAGCAACCAAGGGGCCCATGACGTCTGTGTCGGGTTCATCCGTAGTGGAAACTTCCAATAGCAGATCAGAGCCATCAACTGCTGGGCCTCAGCACAACAATCCAGTGGATGACATGATGGAACTAGAACGACAACTGAGAGATATGGATCTTGCGCTAGAGTTGGGAAATTCAATTGCTTCTTTGGATGCAAGAACGCAGAGTCGTCTGAAGAGTTCCTCCATTGGTGTGGATGGTAGCTTCATGGTTGTTCCGGGATCTCAGTCTTACATGTCCTCATCCAACATGTGGGCCCCAACTCCCTCAGCTCCGTCACATGCTTCGAACACCGGTGCAACATCAGCACGAAACAATCCAAAGGCCGCCACATCTCGGACTGCAGCAACGCCAGGCACAGCGGGAGTCCGTGCCCGCGCCAATCGTGTCCAAAACCTACTTGGGGCTTCCACAAATTACCCTCGTTCTCCTTCTCATGGTCAGCTACATCAACCTACCCACCCGCACAATCGGAGTACAGTAGCCCCCGCACCACCTCCATCGGGCCTAGAGTCTAGTTGGTGGGGAACGTCCAGTACAACATCTCAAGTTCTCACTTCTTCTGTCATTTCGTTGGGTGCAAGCTGTATCCGACCTGGACCAGGTCAAGAAGGTGGAGGAGCAGACAGTCCCGCCAACACGAAGCAACTCATGCGATTGATGGACGCCTTGAAGACACTAGGAGATGAAAACGCGAATCTTTTGCGTGAGGTGGAAGAAGCAGAGGCCGCTCGCATGGAGGGCAAGGCTGCCAAGGAGCAGATGGCCAAGTTCAAACAAGAGTACAGCAAGCGTTTTGAACACTTGAAAGCTGCCCTCAAGAAGTTTCGTGAAAACAATCCTGAAACTGGCGGCGGAGAGGCCAATCTTGTGACCAGCAGGTATGTTGGAAGGAAATATGGAACCAGGAGCTACTGGTGTGTTTGCATCTAACTAACTATTACTTGTTATTGTTTTTGCTCTGACAGTGACTACATGCGAACTGCTTCCACCACGGATCAGCTTGTAAGGCAAGAGCAGTTAATCCGAAAGCTCACCGACGACCTAAAGCAAGCAAAGGAAGAGTCGAAGAAGAAGGACATGGCACTCCAGAAGTACGAGAACTTTTATCGCGAAGTGAAAGCAAGGAGCGCTGCGAAACAACGACAGCGCGAAACAGGCGGAGTGGCAAATAGTCAGCGCCCCCCTCAACCAAAAACAGGATCACGACGTGCTGGGCACCGTTAGTGCCCAATCTAGCTCGCCTAACTGAAAGATGAGGCCATCTGTCTAAACTGTTGTTGATAATATTATCTATCCTGTAGGCTATGGGAAAGGTTACAATGTCAAGATGCGTCCCGATGCTTCATTTTTTCAATTGCTCAAACCTACAGGTAGCTGCCAAGTCCTCATACATAGATCCCCCGGACGAGCCGCCCAAGGCTGCTGGACTTTGGTCGTCATCATTGTGTCATCCAGCAGGCAGAGTGAGGGGTGGTTGGCACCAAAACGTGGACTTCATCATAATCACTGGCAGGTGCTTTTGTTTCGGCTCGCAGTTCAGGGTGTGCAAGGGATCTGTACAAAGAAACGATTAGACCTTAGCAAGGTTTAGGAGCTGGACGCTTACGACTGCACAAGCGCGCCTTTGAAATCATCAATCAAAAGAAATTGAACAAGGCTGTGAATTACTCTATACTATGTCACCAACTATGAAACCATTACCAACATACATTCCATCCGATGAGCTTGTACTTCCCTTGGTTCAGTGGGGAAATGCTGCAGTCAGGTCTTCGTCTTCGTCTCCACCTCCTATGCGGAATAGGCTTCGCATTGGGGCACCGTCAGCGCCAAATCTGGCCTACTAAACTGATGTTGATAGTAATATTATTGTGTAGACTATGGAAAAGGTTACAAGTCAAGACGCACCATGATGTGTTCACTTTTTCAATTGTTCGAACCTGGCTGCCAAATCCTCATACGTAGACCCCCCGGAGGAGCCGCCCGCGGCTGGTGGTTTCTGGTCATCATCATCGTCATCCTGTGATTTGTTTCCATTCATGGGGGATACGCCACCGGGTGGGGCAGTGGGGATGGTTGGCACAAAAATGTCGACTTCGTCATAATCACTGGCAGCAGAGGGTGCCGAGGGCGTTCCATTCATGTTGTTTGCAGTTGTCGGTTGTGTCACGGACGAAGTGGTGCTGGCACCGCCATTGACGTAGGCCGTGGTGGTTGGCAAATTGTCGGTGTTTTTAGGGGATTGGTAGGGTGTAGCGCTGACAACGGGACCACTGCCTCCTCCCGAGACAGATGCCGTTCCACCACCAAAACCAGGGGCCGGTGGAGGAATGGCGTCCAGTTTGCTGAAACCAATTTCTTCGTCTGAATTTTGCGTCCCTGTCATTGCTTGGGCATCGGGCCCCAATCCAGTTCCCTGTGCGGCTTGGACCGAATACCCAACAGGGGCTGCCATTGGCTCAATCATTTGCTCTGAGGAAAGCTTGATTGTGGGTTGCCAGTCCACTGGAAACAAAATATTAGTCAGTATCCACATCCACGAAACAACCATAATGCACGAAACAAACAAAGAAACAAACAACACATACCTTCATATTGCTCGGCAATTTTTTCCAAGTAAGTCTGCACTAGATAAGCAGCTGGCGGGTGAACTGACAGCTTTGAAACCACCCGTTCATTCAAGACGCCACCTTTGTTTTCCAGGGCCGCTTTTTCAAAGTCTTTTCCGTACTTGGCCCTAAATTGTTTTCGAATTTCATTCAATTCTGGAATGTCGACCCTGGGACAGGCATAGATCAAATCGCTAATGCACGAGAGCAAATCTGGAGGGCATTGTTTTTGGCTTTCCAACAGTTTGATGCGCTCCGACAAGAGCTCGCATTCCAGTTGCAGAATTTCATAGGCTTCAATCATATTGTCGTCACGAATGAGGGCTTCTGCCCGGATCCGGGCCTTTTCCTCCTTGGGTGGATCCTCGGCAAGCAGCAGTGCCACTTCTCGCATGTTTTGCTTCATAATGGCCGATTTCTTATTGCTGGCAATCGCAAAGCGGGACACTGCCATTTTCAGTTCTACAAAAAAACACGAAAAAACAAAAAAAGAGCATTGGGACAGTCAGTCAAGATCGCCAAAAATACAAAAAATCAAGAAAGAGCCCAGACTGATGAAAACCTACGTGGCTTGAGCTTTGTGCCTTTGAAACCTCCAAACATCTTTACTGGAATTTCTGTTGGTTGTGGATATATAGATAGAATTGAAAGGGAAAAAACCTTCGAAGAAAAGATGGAGATACTGAGTAGATTGGCTTTCCGCTTGTCGGGTTGTTTTTGCTCTCCTCAAGTGTTGAAGCAAGCTGTGGGTTGTGGAAAATGAGCAATGCCGTAGCTGTCAATCAAATAGACCTCGAAGTCTGAGGCAGGTGCCAATGGGTGTCCGATGACAATCAACAGAACAATGCTTGCTACGATGGTACCGTTTCAACTCGTGCTATTGTGGTCGATGCTTTCGGCTTGGATCTTGCTTGGGACCTTCGGTTTTGAGGGCCGTTGAGCGCAATCCCGTTTCAAGCTTGAGTCGGGTCGGGAACCGACGCGCAGGACTTGAACAACTCGAGCTTCGTTCCGATTTCTGGAGGTCGAACGAGACTGTCCCTCAGTCTCAGTCTCACAATCCGACTTTGCGTTCAGCAACAAAGCAACTAAACTAGCTAGCTCGCAAACAAACAACCAAACAAACCTAGAAAAATGACACCCTTGAACCTCGGATGCATCCCAACAACACCAACCAGCAAGGAATTGGGATACGGAGAACCCAGCACAAAAGATCTTGGCTACGGACCAAGCGAACAAGAAGTCGACCTGGGCTACGGACCAACAGAAGACGTTGGCCTGGGTTACGGGAGCACCGAAGATCTTGGATACGGACCAACAACTCTTGCTGGTACTCCAAGGAAAAACACAGATCCTGGACGGGCAGGGTACCACAGGCGTTGCTCAGTGACAAGATACTCGCTGCAGTCTTCTTCTGGGATTTCCATGCAAGAGCTCGTGGACAAGACATGCTCCAATCTGGTAATCAAGGACAAAACTGGGATGGACTATTCATTCAAAGGGGAACAAGGCGTAGTACCAGAGGACAATGAAGGATCGAACAACTAACTAAACACAATACTGTACAATATAAAATGATCAATCCAAGAATGCACAGCTAACTAAAATGCGAAGGCATAATATGCTTAGAACCTTACACGGATGTGGTGTTGTGATAAAGTGTCATGCAACTGGTATAAGCTTTAGGGAGGGTATAATGGGTGTTGATGCACCAAGGCTCGGACGTGGTGTTGTGATCGGCTCTCCCCCCTTGATGTGCTTTGGTTTCGGCGGTTCCTACTCTCTTTTCACCACAGAGCGTTCGGGTTCCAATAATTGGCTACTTGATTGCAAAGTGAATCCTACCCTGAAACTCCACAAGCACTCATTCCGATAATGCAACTTTGGAGAGCTACCAAGTCTGTCGAATAGCGTTAACTATGTCTTTGACTTCTTTGGCGAGAAGAAAGATGTGATTGATCCCTTCTTCGTGGAATCAAGTTTGGCTTTTTTGGTTGCAGGCTTTTTTCCAGGGCTAACAATGGGTGCTGCACGCTTCGTGGTTGTTGCCGTCTTGATGGACTCGCCCTTCTTACCAGTGCCGGTAGACTCTTTCGTGTTAGTGCCTGCTTTCTTCTTTGTGTCCGAAGAAGGTTTGGATTTTCCAATGGGAGCAAAGAAAGCCTTGACACTTTTTGGTTTGGGCAGAGCTTTGATGGCATCTGCCTCTCTGTATTTGGTAGAGCTCATTTGAGTAGTCACCGCATGCCAATCCAAAAGATATTGTTCAGTAAGATGAGATTGCTCGTCAATTTGTTGGTGTATTTGTTGCGATGGTTCCTGTAGCCATTTCCACGCCAACTCTTCATCCCAAATACAGACGGGCATCCTGGAATGCAGCCATCTCAACGGATTGCAAACCTCCGTGGTGAGTACAGTAAATGTGTCCAGTGTGGCTGGTTTTGGAGGAGAGTATCCCGTTGGAACAGATGTCCACAGCCCTGCCATCAGAAGATAGGGACTTTTCTGAGCTGATTGTTGATTTGGATCCTTGCAGTTTCCCTCTTTTTCGGGTGGATTCTTACGGAATACGTAGTATGGTTGCTTCTTTCCCTTTCCTCCGCCCAGAGGATCTGCTTTCCATTCAAAGAATCCATCAAAGGCCACAACACAAGTTTTTCGTTCACCCAAGAGCCGGGAGAACGTAGGCTTGGAGAAATGAGTGTCAGATCGAGCATTAAACATCAGGTTGGAAAAATGCTTGGAGGGCCCTTCTTGAAGAGGAGCCTTGCTCGTTCCACCCTTGGAAACAAGGCCCCAAATCTTCCGATCCATTTGCAATTGTCCTTCTTTGTTCAGTGAGAAAACCACAGCGTCGTGGCCAGGGCTCAGATTGAAATTGTCGCCCCAGGGATACGTCCCGTCTTCTTGAGGGATTGATGATTTGTCTGTTTCACCGTTGGTTGTGGATGATCCATTATCCCCGCCGTCATTGCTGCATCGTCTAGGACCAATTCTGTCAACCACGCTTCTGCCACCATTGCGGGAATTAGTCCTTAAAGAGGTTGAAGCTGCCGAGACAGCGGCCACTGATTGTGCCGTTCTTCCGCACATGGTTCTGGACCAGGAGTGCAGAAGATGAACGATCAAAAACTGCGACCAGGCACACTCCCATGGCGATGTGCGAGTGAAGCAAAGGACAGCAGAGCTGATTAAAAATCTTTAGGTACCGGTACGTACCGAGCCACATCCACTCCAGCGGGACTTCGGACCAACACAGCATTTTTGCATATCGCTCAGCTGAAATCAGATACCAGTAGCAGAAGCTAGCTAGCTAGATGTTACGTTTATTTTAGTATCGCTATTTCAAAAGACCTGAGATCATTTGAAGTTGTTGAAAGAGCAAATCAAGCTGATGACAAGTTGTTGGACGCAGGATACGGCATCACAAGCACCGTGAGCTCAGCCAACATTCACATTTATTAACAACCAGCATGCCCCTAGCTAGCTGCCGGTCCAAATCATTTTTGGTTCCGTTCAAAGCATGTGCTCGCTGCGGACTGGTCCTGGATCCAAAAGATTCGCAACCACCCTGCCGCAGCTGTAGTACTAGTAGTTTCAGTACCGCAAACCGCAGGCTGTTGCCATTGAGCCTGAAAACGATTTGAGTCACGGAACCGTTGGACAAAACCGTTTCCTACGGTCGAGCACCCTCACGACCCGAACGCGGTATTGCATCGCCAACAAAAATGAAACCGCTATTTCGTGAGCTCACAAAATTGATGCAAACGCCCAAAAACAAATCCACACCACTACCAGGTACCACTACTACCACCACCCCGAAAACGTTATCAAAATGATCTTCTCTTCTGGGTTGAACGCTACCAAACTCAAGTCGCAGCTCAAGATGACCGCGGGACGCCTTGAGATTGACGCGGCGAAGAAGACCGCCTTGATGAAGCAGAACATGAGAGTAGTTGCGGAACTTCTCGCTGAATCGCCTCCAAAAGAGGACAAAGCTCGTCTACGAACAGAAGCGCTGATCCGCGATGACAGTACGCTTGTTGCCTACGACATTCTTCGCCTCGAATGCCTTTTACTTATGGAGCGTGTCTCGATTATGAATCATTGCCATGAATGCCCGGCTGATCTTGTGCCGGCTGTCTCGGATCTCATTTTCGCTGCACCTCGCTTGGCCATCCCAGAAATGACGCTGGTCCGAAAGCAATTCAGAGCGAAGTATGGCAAACAATTCAAGCTGAGGGCCATGCGCAATGAGGGCGGAATGCTCAACGAAAAGGTTGTTAAGAACCTTTCCAATCACCCTCCTACAAAGGAGACAGTCAACCTATACATGCAAAAGATCTGTAAACAGTACGAGGTGGACTGGGTTCCACCGGTGGAGCTTACTGATTTGACCGAACGGGACGTCGTGGCAACCGCTGTTCCTGGCATCCCTGTGACAACGGGGGTAAGAGAGACCGATGCTGATATCTGCAGAAAGGTACAACAACTTCAGACTTTGGATATTATGCCGCCCCCCTTCGCCCCGGGGTACAAGAAAGATTCAGCTTCCGTAACTTCCAAGTCTTCCGGTGACGACGACGACGACGCGCCTCCCGCCGATACCCCTGTGGTGGTGGCAATGCCTTGTATCACGCGATAACGGCTCGGCACTGACGAACGAACGAAAACAAATGTAGTTTTGTACGGATATATCTCCCCGTAATTGTATTAGAAGATTGATCATTCATGCACTCAGTAGAACATCTTGGGAGTCGGTACAACGGCACCAGAGTTGGCTATCTATCGTGATAATGGAGCTCAGGTTGGAGCAGTTGGATTGAAAGATCCATAGGCGTAACCGCCTGGCACGAGTTGGAACCCAGGATGAAAGACACCTCGGAGCCCCCACAGCGATGGATCAACTTCATGATCATTTGGATTGAATGTGAGCGTGGGAATTCCTTTGTCCTCCCCTGGATCTTCCTCGAAAACGTCCTTGAAGCTCTTTGCCAGCATAGACAGACCAATCTTCTTCTCGTCCTTGTTCAACGCACGGTTGTCCGCCAATGAAAGCCCCCAGAAACAAACCACACTGGTATCATTCAAGTTCAGCTCTCTAGATACGCTTGCGAAATTCAAAAGCATTCTGAGACAAGCGGATTGAGCGGTGTTCGCGTAGACCTTACCAAGGGAATCGAAAAGATCGGAGAGATTGCAACATGCACTCATCAACGGGGCAGTAAATACATAAAGGTATTCCTCCCTTGCGATTTGTTGAATCTGTTCGTAGCAAGCCTTCCTATTGCTGATTGGCATGCTTTTCCACTGCAAGATTGCCTGGAGCTGTGAAATCTCAGTGATAGAATGCCCAGTCCTGTCAAAAGCTTGCGCGGCACGAATCCCCACAGATCTTGCATTTGGCTGACCACCCAGTAGTCTCGCTCCGTGTACATTCATGCCAATTGCAAGCTGCCACGACTTCAGATACGTTCCACTTCCCTTTTGAGGTATCCCACCGCGAAACCACACCTGCTGCCGATACACTCGAATGAATGCTGCCTCAATTTCGTTTATTCGTCCGAGGTATCCTTGAGTGCGTAGCATCCAATACAAATGGATCATGACAGTGTATGTTTGGCAGAACTTGAACGCGAAGCCTATGCCGCACAGGAGATGGAGACGAAGACCTGACTGCAACATTTCCCCACTGAACCAAGGGAAGTACAAGCACATCGGATGGAATGTATGCTGGTAATGCCGTGTGGTTTCGTAGTAGGTGACGTAGTGAGAGCAATTCATAGCCTTGTTCAATTTCTTTCGATTGATGATTTCAAAGGCACGCTTGTAAGTGTCCAGCTGGTAAACCTTGCTAAGGATTTCTTTGTAAAGATCCCTTGCGCGTCCTGAACTGTGTTGGTCAACCTCGGCCGAAACAAAAGCACCATCTATTGCAACCATGATCGCCAACGACAAATGAAATCTGATTTGTCGCGTCTCTGCGAACTCTCGCAAGTATGCCGTCAGCACCGTATCGGCAGCTCCAGAATTAAGACAGTATCTGGCGAATGTGACCCAAATTGGCAGTATGTACTTAACCACCAACTGTAAGAAGCCGCCAAAATCCCCATTCTCGAGAGCTTTTTCAAACTGCCAACATCTAGACAACATCGTCAAGTTAGTTTTGTGCAACTCGGGTGGCACTTGTGAGTTACCCTGCCATTCGGGATGTGGAGGACACGCATCAAAAGAAAACGATTCGAGAGCCTTTTCAATTTGAGCGAGACAAATGAACGGATTGTTGGACCTCAGAAGGTTTTCTGCCTTGATCGAGAGGATCGGTTGCTTAGCATTCTGCTCGTAACAATCGTCGGGAAACATCGCAACTCCAAATCTTCCATCCAGCTCTTTTGTTATTTTCCCACTTTTCCCATTGAGCTCAGGCCGTTTCTCCAATTTTCGTATTGTAACACATTCACCGGCTCTCAGTTCACGAGGTGTTTCCTGATTCTCTCGAATGGATTCTGCCAACACCTGAAGATTGAATGACTCAAAGAAAGATGGGTATTCCACTGTGGAGAGATCAAAAAACTTGGAGATAGCGTACACAGTATATTCTGTGCAAGCAGTCACCCCAAGAAGTTCAGCTGCCGCATCTTCGTTCCCGGTCGCTTTTTTGGATGCCCATTGCCTCCACAATTCCTTCAAATCTTCTCTAGCTTCAGATATCTCGGTCAAAACCAGTGAAATGGCAAAGGTTCGTTCCTCAGCTTCCAATTCCTCGTCTGTTGGAGCTTCTTCTTTGACTTTTCTCCTTGGTTTCTTCTCGCCGCTACTGGCATCTGCCTCCGCTGCTTCGTCTTCCTCATCACTAAGGGATAAGAGCTGGAAGCCCAGCTGCTCATTCATATTTTGGGGGCTCACTGTTTTGGCTGATTTTTCTGATTTTTTCTTTGGCTGCTTTTTGTTCTCGTTGATGTTGGCAAATTGTTGCTCTAAAAGTTCTAATTGGACAATCAACCATTGGTGCTGAGCATAGCTCTCCTCGCTGGCAGATGGAATCGATCTGTAAAACTCTCCAACTCTCTTGCGATAGTTGATAGCGGTTCGCAAATCTTCCAAAACAGAGTCGGGCATGGGCACATTCCTCTCCAAAACATAGGCAAGGCACTCCAGTACCACAACAGATAAACTGGGAGCTCGTGGCAGCTTTCCTCCTTTGAGCTTCTCGTAGGTGGTCCTGCCCCAGTCAATCACTGTATCGGTACAGTATTTGTAGATCGAGTAAAGAGACTTGGCTTTCGATGGCTGCTTATCTGCCGATGGCGCAGGTGGCTTATCTGCTGCATCATTGTTGCTTTTGGCCTTGTTTGATTTTCCACTCCCCCGCTTATTAGACTTCCTTCCCATGGTCCTTTGCTGCCAAAGGTGGTGGTTGTTGGTTGGATAATAGTGCCTTTGGCTGTTGGTGACCTCATGATTTTCCAAAAAGAGGATACGATACCGACACCCCGTGTTCTTGTGTGGCAAAGAATGGGTAAACACGTGGGAGTTAACTGGGATCCGATGACGTAACAGTTTTGCAACTGCTAGCTAGTAGTACTGTTTTAGACTAACTAACTGTTGAAGTCCGTGCTAATTACAAATGAGCTTCGAAGCAGCCAGCTTCGACGAGTTGGCTTAGTGTGCCTTCCTTTTATGCTAGCTAGGAGGGAGCAGAAGCTTCATTATCATGGAATCAACCGTACCAGGTACCGTAGGCCGATGCCCTTGTACGGTACTAGCTACATCGCCAGCTATTTAAATTTAAAATAGTAGGTACCGGTGGGAGGGGCGATTTCAGTGCTACATCGTTCACATGCTTCCAATCCATCGGAGTGAGCTGCAAGAGTGACAGTCTCTCGTATTGATCTTGAAGGTGCCTGTAGCTAACACAGCTCTAACACTATACTGCCGCAAGATGTTACCGGTACAGGTAGTGATACATTCTGTTCAGCTAAGCTACCACACTGGCTTCACCACACGAAGATCAAACAGTCCGATTCAACAGTCTGCTGCAGTGAGAACGCCCTGGTGATCGGAACGTTCGGGACTACCCGTTGTGGCCAATCGTTCGTTTTCCTTTTGCATCCTTTTGAAGAAGGAAGCAGCACTTCGGGGCACACGAAGCATCATCAACAGATACGCAAGAAGGGAGAACCATGCTGCAAGGCCACACAAACAAATAAGGTTTCTTGTTTGATTGTCCACGTCCATTGCAATGGTTTCCACAAAGACTTCACCCCGAACAGGCAGTCGAGGGAAGCCCGGTGCATCAAATGAGAACAAGAGGCCAGTCAACTCATTGGTAACCAGGAGCTCAAAAGCATAGTAATAGATGGAAAGGAAGCGCAGCCATGAGTACCAGGCAGCCATGGACTCAATGTTCACAAGAAAGCCGCCGAACAGCAACATGATCAAAAACCATACAACTGCAAGTAAATTGGCCTGACCAACGGTTGGAGCTGCGATGCTGATGCTGATACTGATAATACCGGCACACAAGTTGAACAGCACCATTGTAGCCCAGAACACAAGGAACTTTTCAAATGCATTGTCCAGTCCCATCAGCCAATAGAAGACCACTGAGAAAATTGTGACTGGTATCACTCGTAAAAAGAACAGATCCAGGCTTGTTTTGGCCACAAAATAAGCAAATGCAGTGTACATCTTGGCCCCAGTCTCTCTCTCGAAGATGTAGCGTTCAGAAATGAAGATGTCCATCGAGCTGAAGGATGCAAAGCCAAAAAATGACAGAGAGAAGTAGAAGGCACCCAACCGATTCTGAAATCCAGCAAGGTCCAATGAAACATCATTGAATATGCCGCCCGCAAAGAAAGCAAGAAGGACGCTGATTATTAGCTGCATCAGAAACAGTTCCGAGTTCCTGAATGTGTTTTTGGAGGTTCTGGAAAAAAGGGTGATGATTTCGTTCAAGATACTAGTATTTTGGACGCCAGAAACGTTCGGCAAATCAGTGTCGAACTGCTGGCCTGAGCCTTCTTCGGTTGTAGAGTGTTTGCCGCGAGTGCTGATACGTAGACTGTCGTACTCACTTTGGGTTGTCTCGGGTCCCTTCAGTACTTCCTGATTGTCCTCATTGGACACAACATCCAGCATGAAATCAGGAACAGTCAAATCCTCTGGACATGCGAAACCACTTCCCTCCAAGTAGTTTCTGGCATCCCCAGGTTTGCCGTCGTACATGACTCTTCCGCTTCCAAGCACCAGTATCTGGTCCATGAGCATGAATGAACGGATCGAAGGCTGGTGGATGGACAAGACGACAATGCGATTCCCGGAAGCCAACTCAGATAGAATACTCAATATGTTGTTTGCTGCTGAAGAATCTAGACCCTGAAAATTTGATACAAAAGTGAAGAAGATTAGGCCGGCATCGTAAAGCACCGGGTACAAGACAGAGCCGGACAATAACACCAACAATTTACCGATGTAGGTTCGTCAAGAAACATGACTTTCGGCATGGCAACAAGCTCCATACCAATGGCGACTCTTCTTCTTTCCCCACCTGATACTGATGCATGACCACTGGATCCAATCTGATTGTGAGCAATGTCAACCAGGTTGAGCTCTTCCATGGTCTTCCACGCAAGTGCCTGCTTCTTGTTGGTTTCCCATTCGATGGGAAGGCGCAGGAGAGCTGAATACTCAATGCATTCTTGGACCGTCAAAGTATCGTAGAGGGCATCATGCTGATACACATACGCCACAGCTTTGCGATATCCTTGCATTCTTTCATTCCCATTCAACAATATCTGCCCCGAAATCGTAGACCCCCCGCTAGTTTCCACAGCCGCAAGAGTGTTCAAGAGTGTGGACTTCCCACCGCCAGAAGGCCCCATGATGCCAAGCACATTTCCCGACTCCACGCGGCCGGAGATGTTTGAGATGATGACCTTCTTGTCTTTGCCGTATGCCTTGGCTGCTTTTCCTCTAAGCTGCACCGTTTTACTCAAATGAAAGAACTCTAGAACGTGTTTGTCGCTATCGCCCACGCCAGGGGTCAACGTCATTTGCTCAGAAGCAGCCGCTTCAGTGATTCCGTTCCAGGGTCGTCCTCCACACAGAAAAGGCACCAAGGCAAAGGATCCGACGAGGACAAAGAGGGCAAAGACGATGCATAAAATCAACAAGGACAGTTTGCCGCTGTCCTTCCACGCGTCTCCCTCGAGTGTGCTGCCATTGTTTTTTTTCTTCGTCTGGTCGTCCTTTGTTTCGTCGGCTGCACTGTCTTCCAATGGTTGAAACTCAAAAACAGCTTCATCCAAGATGGGGTCAGCTTCCGTGCATGCACTGGCTGAACAAAGCAAATCAATGCTGTAGGAGCCATCTTCTACGACGAACGACACAGCTCTCGTGTCTGCATTCCCAAACGCCTCGCTTAAAAAAGCATCATCTGCAGCCACTTTGACAGACTCTTCCACAATGATTTCAGCGGGTTGTCCTGTGAAACCGCTTACCATCGACTCAAACCATCGGGCACATTGACCGGATTTGGTACAAGAACAGTCATTTACTTTGCACTTTGTATTTGTTCCACCCACTTCGAAATCACACCCGGAAAGAGTGCAGTCCATCAAGTGATAGCTGTTCACAGTGCGCGTGTTGAAAATGCTCACATTGATAACCCCCCCCTCCAGGTCAAAATAGAAGGAACCTTTACCATAAGGAAAGACTGCGTCAAAGGAAGACTTGGTCCTGCATTTGTAGCTCTTGTAGGTGTCTTTTGAATTGAATTCAAAACCCTCCCTGCAGATGTGGCTCTGGGTATGTTCCTGACAGGGGAGATCGTTGAGGCAATAGCCACAATTGATTTCCTCGAGCCCATCCCAGCACCGACATCCATCAGGTGCTCCATAAATGGGGGTTGTTGGATGTTCCACATCAAGCCATCTGTAATCTGGGCAAGTGATGTTCAAGTCGGCAGCGGCAGTCGCATCAACCGTAGTGTTGTCCAATCCATTCTCGGAAATAACAAGAGGGAGGCAAACCCATATCTGCAGCAACAGAATCCAGATTCTGATTGGATTCATCGCGAGGAAAGAGCAGAAGAAATGAGTGCAGATAGGTAGACGTTTGTAACCCTCTCATGGGCCATCATCCATTACAGACTGTACACACAACATGATACCGTACCTGGTTGCTTTGACATCCTCACATCCTCACGTTTTCGTTCTTGAAGATTTCGTCTGGAGCGTGCCACGTGCCGCTACTAGCTAGCTAGTAGTACGGTAGGGTACTGTACGACTGTACCACAATACACCGGGACCTTACGGCTTCAAGAAGCTGCCACAACTCGTGCCCGCCAGAGGCCAAAAAGCAATGACACGAGCCACCAACAGATTCGATCCGGTACCACTCCGTACGTACCTAGCTAGCTAGCTAGATCTAGCGGTTTTTGCTTACAGATTGATGGCCATGGCCCCATCCCAGGGGACATCAAAGTGTGCCTGGCAAATTGGCTCCCAGTGGCGGAAGGGAGCATCAACGCGAAACAAAAGGTACCCACAGCATATGTGGAATCGTCTTAGTAACTAGAGGGCCCCTTAGCCCATTGTGATCCAAGTCCCTGCGAGCCCATGGAGATTGCTTTTCTATGGTGGGAGGCCAGTTCTAGGCCCCTCCCAAGTGGGCACCCTTGTGTGTCTGGGGTATGCAGGGCCTCTACAGCTCGGTTCAGCAGTATAGTCTACTAGAGGGGGACAGCCTTAACATTTTGTTACTTCGGTACTTGCATACATAGTAGCCAACAAGTTCTGGACCAAGCGACCTAGGACCCAAAGACAAGCCGCCCTCCTGTCACACACCGGTACTCTATACAGCAAGATTAGCAGCTGCAATCTCTAAAAGGCTCAATGGCTGACAACGCAAATGAGAGGCAGTGCCGTAGCATAGGTACCTTGCTTGTACTCAAAACCATCGGTACGAACTGCCGTTTGGCAAGCGGATCCGATGATCATTCACCGCCGAAAAAAGCTTTTATCAGCAGCCAGCAAGGAATGAAAAGCTTGGTTGAACTTGGCGGGTCAGAAACCATGGCTGCCTTCCAGGTAGCTTCTCAAAGCAAGACCGTGCCCACGATATGCATACCGATGCTTGGCTGGGTGCTTTGAGAGTGAAAATGCCTTAGCTGCGGCATAGTTTAGCGATTACAAAGTGGTCTATTGAACTATTCTTTTCACATTCTTTCGTTTTCCTTTTTTTGATAATGCAGTAGTTGTGGTAGCGGCCTCCGAATTATAGCTTGAGGAGGCGAGGACTTGAGTGTGTGGCGTGTTGTCTACCGTACAGTATCAGGTGTCGACATGGAAAAATTTGATCTTCTCCAGAGTGCAAGACCCCACCAAGGTCGGGACCATTGGCGAGACCCGCCCTCCACCAACGCTGCCCCTCCCCACATATCATAATCCCTGAGTTAAAATTCGATCAATTCCCCCCTTACAGTACGTGACGCGTGACATACGGTGGTAGACAAAGAACAAGACATACATTTATGCGGCTGGGAGAGTTGCTAGCCGGACGTTCCTCGGTTTTCAGAGGATAACACTGCTTGGTTGCTGGAAGCGGTGGTAGGATTGCTCCATGGTTTTGGCTGCGCGGACGATGATTGCTGAGGCTGCGAGAAAAGAGATGTGAGATCGCACAAGCCGGATTGCTCGTTGCCACTTGGAACCGAGTTGAAGGACTTACATCATCCGTCGGCACCGCCAATAATGCGGATTGCATTGCGGTGTGGTCCACAGGGCACTTAGGTTGTCCCGCGTGCGCCTGGAGCGTCGGTTTTAGACAGTGCTCGTGGAACATATGTCCACAAGGACGCAACTGCGTGTCAACATTGGTTTGGTTACAAAGGGCGCACTTTGTGGCAGCTGGTACCTGTACAGATGTGTTAGCGCCCTTCTCTCCAGGGGCTCCTGGGTGTCCCAAATGAAAATGTCTCTGCTGAGGGTCCTGTCGACTTTGTTGTTGCTGTTGAACAGGCTCGCCCGGATGCTGACCAGCGTATTGCTGTTGGCTCTGCTGTTGTGGTGGTTGTGGCTGTTGCTGCTGGCTACTATTGTTGACGGCATTTCCGCTGCTACTGGGGGGTTGGTCCGTTGATGGCGCAGGTGCCGGAGGAGGAGTGTACGAGAACTGACCAAACGTCTGAGGATTTGGGTTTTGATTCTGTCGAATGTACTCCTGCGACAACGATCGCTGCATCTTTGCGGGCAATGCCAAGTCGGTAAGCTTCTCACTGCTGCGACTGACCGACATCAAACCACGGGCTGCCAATGCGTCGTCGTAGGCACGCTTGAGGGTGCCCGTGTCGTTTGAATCCTTGGCTGCCGATGCACCAGTCAAGGGAGCGGGTTGTGGTGCAGCGCTCATAGGAGCAGGTGCCCCCATCTCTTGTTTAATCGACGAAGTCGTGGTCGTAGGACCCTCATCGTCCAACGACAACCCAACATCATTGTCCTCTTCCCGTTCTCGCCTGCCTTTGGATGAGTCGGCTGCTTGGCCGCCTTTACCAGCCATGTTGTTCATGCTGTTGAGACTGCGATCGCCAAAGAAGACTTCTAAAAAGGCGTACGAGTCGTTCTTTCCCATGGATTCCATGCTCTTGACTTGAGCCAGGTTGCCCATTTTGTTGACTTGGCCCTGATTGGCCAAGTCGACTCCGCTCATGCTGGTGATCGACTTGACACCAGGCATGTTCCCCAAGTTGTTGAGAGAGGAAATGCTCGAGAAGTGAGGCCACGAGTTTAGCGACGGCACACTAGCAAGCCGCGACTGTGAGTTGGACTTCATGGGATGCTGACTAGAAACTTGCTGTGATGGCTGATTCTGCTGCGACTGCGCTGGTTGTGGTTGTTGAGCGGACGCGAGGGTGGGTTGCAGTGGCATGGGCTGGCCATCTTGCTTCTTGGCAGCTGCTTTCATCCTAGCTGACTCTGTGGCCTGTCGAACCAAGTCCTGATCACGGGCAAACAGTTCCATAAGAACCGCATGGCTATCCGTCTTGTTCAGTTGTCCGGTAGAGCCCGATAACATGGGAGGAAGAGACCCGATCGAGTTACTCTGATGCATGGATGCCAAGGGTGACGTGGTTGGGGATGGACCAGGAGCTGCTGCAGCTTCAGCAGCTGATGGCAGGTAGTACTGCTGGACTTGAGCTTGTTCGGTTCCAGTCGCCGGCTGGGCCTGGGGCGGTTGAAGTTGTTGAGCCTGCAATGGAGGGGGCTGTGGTTGCACATAGACCTGGTTGCCGTATGCATCCACCGTGACCTAGACACAATCGCAAGATAATCCATCAGGAGAATTGAACAAGAAACACACGTACGACACAAGATGTCCCGGCCGATCCATCCATAGCTAGTAGAAGATCCTGCCCGTTCCTCTAATCTTACCTGCTGTTGTGGTGCTTGGGGCTGCCCTTGTGCCACGGCTTGCTGATAATGAGCTCGCATGGCTTGCACAGAATGCGGATTGTCCATGGCAGCTCCACCGGGTGCTACAGCTCCTGGCATGGTGGGTACCATGAGTCCTGGTACAGCCCCCGCCACGGCAACACCTCCTGCCACCCCCGTGGTCGTAAGCTTTCCCTGTTCGATCTGTTTTTTTAGCATGGGTTTCCATATTCGTCTGCGAGCGTTGGTGAACCAATTCTTGAGTTGCTTTTTGTCAATCCCGGTCTTTTGCATCAACATGGCTTGATCTTGAGGTGTTGGATATGGGTGAGTAAAGTGTTCTGGCGAGAGCAACCACGCCTTGAGTGTCTGCACAGCTCCAGCAGGTAGTTCGCGACGGGACTTGCTCTTTCCGCCTTTGCCTCCTCCATCACCTTCGTCATCGGAGCCTAGCTCCTGATTGTTTCTTCCGTCGGCATCTGCCATGGATGACAAGTTGTTGTCTTTGTCGTTGTTGTTCTCGTGAGATCCCGCACCTTCAGTAGTGCTGCCACGACGGCCCTTGGCGGCTTGAAGCTCTGGTCTTGATAAACGAGTACGTAGGGAGTAGCTTGCAGGAGCAACCGATTGCAACATGAGATGGATGAAACACGACGGACGTACAGTACCCAGTCTACTCTAATAGCCAACTGCTGAAAAGGATGGATGGGTCGTCGCTGCTGTTGTTGCTGTACCGTAGCTTGCAATGATCACTGTTCTGTGGATACAGATACCCAAGGCTACTGATGTCTGCTTGTTTGTTCTGCTTGGTGGTAGCTAGGGTCTTTAGAGGTGGTTAGGTAACGGTTTCGCGGAAAAGGTGTCAACCTTGATATATCCTGTTAATAATCGAGAGATAAGTGGGGATGAAGCAATCCATTAGACTCGAGTGGTGGGAGTGTTGTGTGTGTCGTGCTGCTTGCTTGCTGTTAGCTTGATGGCAAGCGAAGTCTTCACTGAGTGATGACTACCCAAATGCTACCCAACCAATAAGGCGTTCTTGTGTGCCTGGACGCACGCAGGTGCAACTGTTGACATCTCCACGTCATGTGACGTCTTCCGGGTTACACCCCGCGAAGCCCCATGATTGGACGAATGTCCAACAAAGACAAGTCCAAAGCAAAACCCCTAAAGAAAATACCAAAAATAACAACAAAACTACCATGGCCATCGCTTACCTCTGTGATAATGGCAACACTGCTGCTGTGGCTAAGGACAAAAGGAATAGATTAAAAGGCAACACAAACAAATATTTCTAAGCGCTGTTTGCTGGGTGATGGGTGCTTTGATGTTTGCCTCCAAAACAACGACAAGAGCAAAATATCCAATCGAATCAATCGCTTTTCTCGCTTTGCGGTTCCGAGGGTGACAGCATTTTGCTGGCTGGCGTCGCTGCAAGTGCTGTCACTCATTCCCGTAGAAATCTTACTGAAGCGAAGATGAAAAGAAAGTCTCATGTTGACACCTTTTCATGATTCTCACCAGCCAATAAGGACATGAGCTCGTACGTGACCGAATTGATTCGACTAGCATTCAAGCTGATTCGATCAATAATTCGAAAGTAGGGTTTTGAGTTTTAGTCCTCTACCCACGAAGTTGCTCTTATTCTAGCTAGCTAGTAGTCTAGGTCTAGCTTGCCAGCTAGATAGTAGAGATACAGTATGTAGAGCTTATACGAGCATCGACAACGAGGAACAAAAGTAGCGACTGGGTACTCGTCTGAATGTCCTGTTGAATTAGAATAAACACAATTTCATCCCTTTCAACAAAATTCCCCAGAAGCGCTGAGCGAGGCAGAAATACGATGTATCACTAGAGTAGAATGGTGAGTATTACCAAGAGAGTTCCATGGAGATCTTCTGCATGTCATGGTGTTGATCAGAGCAAAGAGTTGGACCCCACGGCTGAAACAATGCCCAAAGCAGCAGACCTGATGTCACCTGATCCAATTCGAATCGATTGAAGATTCGACTCGATTCATTCGATTTATTCGATGTGTGAATCGAACGAATTCGAACCCCGCGTGGCTGAAATGAACTCACGACTGAGACTCAAAGACGTCTGGCCTACCTTCCGTCTTGAGTGAAGAAGTAGTTGAAGCCACCCACCCAAACATCGAAGTGGCCGTTGTTCTTCCCACGCACCATCTACCACCAACCCACCATCACCACCAATTGAAACAAGAAGCTCATTTAGCTGCTTTCCCTTCTTACTTGAACCATCCAGAGCCACAAAATGAAAACAAAAGCTCCACTTTCCTCGCAGCAAGAAGCAGGTCCGATTGCATTCGGTCGGTCTGAGGGCCAGTCGTTGAATCCGAGAACTCAGTATATTCTTTGATCAGCAACATTCATTTTGTCCGTAGAGTATTGAGCGACAGTCGGAATGATCACCCTCTGAAGAAACTGACCGAGTATCCCCTGCACCGTCGTCTCTATGTGGAGCGAAGACGGCCCCAACAACCATGATGTTGCTCAAAACAACATAGACAATCCGGCTGCCCAAAGTACTACTAGTAGTAGCCCAGAGGTCCAACTTGCCATGGGAAGGGAGCGATCTCTTTCTGTGCCTTGTGCAAGTGCTTCTACGGATGTTGAAACTGTTGTGTCCAAAGCAAAGCGAGCATCTTCGTTTCTCTGGATGCTGTTGCACTCCCAGGTAGGCTCATTTTTGATTTTGTTTGCTGGCTGAAAGATTCGTGAAAGATCTTCCAGTACTTCTAGTGGTTAACCGTCATTGGAACTCTCTCTTTGGATACCCTTTTGTAGAGTTGCTGCCTTTCCACAGATCGCTGTACACACCATGGTTGCTCGAATGCCAAACTAGTACATTTGCATTTGAAGACCTGTCCCGCAGGGCATGATTTCCCTTGCCCTACAAGGTATGCTGGTTGTGCGCAAGCAAGGAAACTACTTGCCCACTACCGAAGATGCCGAAACGTTCGAGCCCGTCAGATTGGCCAGTCTCCATCCGTGAAGGGTCAACATGTGTGCCTCATTTGTTCCATGGTAGCACGTCAAGCCAGATCACTATTGGACAACAACAGTGCCTCAAAGGCCTCCTTGCCAAATGGTACAGTCCACAAGAGAAGCACCAATGGCAGCAAATGCCAAGTAGCTGCATCCTACACGGTAAAGGCGAAGGTGAACACGGGGACTCTGTCCGCGTGCAAGCCAGATTCGGCACCACTGAAGAAACGTATTTTGGCCTCGTTTACTCAGTCCAACGACAACAATACTGCAGAACCATTGTCACAGAGAAAGCCTCAGCCTGTGGAGGACTGGAACATGCCCCCTCCTGCACCTCGAAATCCCCGTCTTTCACAGTCGGCACCCACATCGCCGTTGGGAGGGCTGGTGAAAGGATCTGCCACTAGTCGACAGCAACTCAAGTCAGCTGACGGGGCACCTCATCTGGGACCCATTCCTCTTCTCCGCAAGCGCTCTGAGAGCATGGGGAGCGATCTTTTGTCCGGAACCAGTGGTAGCCGAAGGGTTGTTTCGTTTGCCCCAAGGGCCGAGCCAGCTTCAATGGATGTGGCCGTGGAACTAGAGTCACCAGGCTTGGGGGAAGAAAGTGATGACTTCCGTGGCACACAAAGCAGAGCCCGGAGTGCTTCTTGTCATGTCCTTTCTACTAACCAGCAAAGCGGGGTCGCATGTGGAACTATCTACGAGGAAATTGGCCATTCCGCAGGCTGCATGGACGAATGACGAGGTGGGATACTTAATGCTTTCTCTCTCGAGTATGTATGGGGATAAACAGTAAATAATCAATAAGGCACATGATTATGCAAAGTCTCCACTACTCTTCTTATTTACTTTACTTCTTGTGCAACCTACTAAGCCGTGTGATAATGGGGTTCATGAGCGACCAGCTCAAGTCCATCATCAAATTGTATGGGGCGGAAATGGAAGTCATTGGAGAGAGCATGTTCCCACCACTTGAAATCGCACATGGTTGTCACGCGTCGAGCACTCACGTACAAGACCTCTCCGTTCTCGTTTTCGCCGGCCTCTTCTACCAAATAGTCATATACCAGCGTCTGAACGAGCTGTTGCACGTCTTCCAAGCTGAGTTCAATACGACTAACTTTGGCTTGTATCATCTTGCCTTGAATTTCCGTGAGTGTGACTCCTTTGGCTTGATTGAGACGTTTGACACAGTGAATGGCAAAAGTCCTGAGCTCCGAAATGAACTCATGGTCAAACTCCAAATCGCTGTACCAGACTCCACCAGTCAATTCCTTTGAAGGAGTCAAATTGTATAGCATGTACAGCTTTTTGGCTTTGGCAGTGACAGACTTGACAGGCTTGATCAATCTCCTTGCCTCCAAAGTTTTGAATATTTTGTTCAGCGTTTGAATGTTCTGGTGTGTCTGCAACCGAATATCCTTGGTCCAAATTCCCATGTTGCCAGCTCTCTCAATCACTTGGTAGACCATCCGAGCCGCAGTATCCAACCCTTTGAACTTGGTCGCGACATCGGCGCTCACTAAACTGTAAAATAATTCATTTTTGCCAGTTTTGCTCATGACAAGTCGAGACTCGCTGGTCAGCTGGTTGATAATCGGCACCAATTTGGCAATGCTGTCAGCGCCCATCTTATCCTTCAATTGGCTGTTGCTAATCCCAGATTTGAATTCTTCTAGTGAGAACAAAGCAATGAAACGCTCCTTGAGGCCGTCCTGTTTCTTCTCGGTACCCGTAGTTTTCTTTGCCGCTCGAACAGCCGAAGGACTTCCAAGTGATGGCTCGATCTTGATCGCAACGGCACTCTTGGCCTTCTTGGCAGGAGGGGCGCCCGCTTTGCTCGCCGATGCTGGTCGTTTCTTGGGAGGCATCTTCTTCAGTTGTATTTATGCTACCTTATGATATGAAGACGCTTCAAGCTGGCTGTATGGAAGCAAGAGAAGACGAGCAATGAATGGCATGTGCATGGCTACGGTACAGTCTACTCGCTCTAATATTTATAATATTATATTTATCCTCGCTGTAATATTTATTAAATCTCGAGGTCCCCCCCTCAGTCCCGGGTATCCGTGAATGAATCTTTCGAGCAGCAACAAATCTTTCGAGCAGCCCGACAACGTCGTGCAATCCATCCAACCGTTTCAATTTGACCGAGACAGCATGTAAAATGCCAATATCGATCCAATGGAGGTGGGATTCCTCGCACCTCTGCCGTGGCGTCCCGTGGCTGTCTTGTCTGGGCCAGCCCAAGCGCTGGTTTTACGTGCAGTTTTCGAAGGATGGTTTCGAGGAGACAAAAACAATTCTCCTGAGCTGCCAAACAATTTCACCCAAACCATACCAAACCCTCCAATCTGACAGAGACCAACATGAACGGCGCCGATACAACCAACGGCGCCGATTCAACCAACATGAACGGCGCCGATTCAACCGTAACGAAGAAAGGAACGAAGAAAGGCGGAAAGAGGGACCAAAAGCAGGTTCAACGAATGCTACTGGGAAAAAGAACAGAGGCGACTGGGCTCAGGCATGCCACTCCTTCCGTACACAGTTCAAGAACATGCAAGCCAAAGCCTTCCTGCAATCGTCCGCTTCTGGGCCGAAGTTCTCTGGGACACAGTCGGAACGCAGAGCTTCAGTCAGTACCTGAAGCAATACGACAACAAGACTTTGGTCCCAACCGACACATCCAAGCGCTATGCCCCACCAAAGTATCCGGAGGTTGAGAAGAAGCTGGTTGCCTACATGGATCTGCGTGCGAAGAAAGTTGGGACCGACAAATGCGGTTTGTCTTGGATCACCCTGAAAACGAAGGCACTTCAATTTGCCAAGCAGCTCGGTGTACCAGAAAAGGAGTCAATGCTTCCGATGGATGGATTGCCAGAGTCCTTCAACGAAATGGTAGAGTTGGAATCAATCTGCACGGAGAGGCTGGCGACATGGATGATGCAGCGAAGGCGGCAATCATGAAGGAGTGGAGGGAGAAGGAGTTCTATCCTCTCATTGACAAATACGATGTCCCTGCCAGTCGCATCTACAATGCCGACCAAACTGGTTTGTACTACCAGAAACTCCCCAATCGTATCTACGTGAAAAAGGACAAAGCAAAGACTTTGCAGGGGCAAGCAGATGAAAGACAAGACGAGAGTCAAACTTATGATTTGTACGTCTGCGGATGGAAAGAAAGTTCCCCCAGCATAGTTGGTAAGGCTGCCAAACCGAAGTGTTTCTCGCTTCGGGAGAACAACAAACCTCCGATGGCCTATACGAACCAAAGGAACTTGGTTTACAAAGGAAGTGACATTGGGTTGGATTCAAGATGTGCTTACCGCACCATGTGAAACGTTGGGGCAATGCCGATTGTATCCTCCTGCTGGATAACTGCAGTGCTCACAAGTTGGATAACTGGGATGTCCTTCCATCCTGGCTCCATGTCTTGTTCCTCCACCCAACGTGACTAACACACATCAACCTGCAGATATGGCATGATTGCTGCCCTTAAAGGATACAAGTTCATCATGCTTCCACTTGCCTGAAACCTTGATAAGTGATAAAAGCCTTCGAACCACGAACGCAAAAACAAAAAAGAGCACTGCTGGCCTGGACAAGCCATCTCTGACAAGACATGAATGAAATTTGGAACAAATACGGTGCTATGCAAAGAGATTGGCTATCAGACGATGCTGGGATAAAAAGGCAGGCATCCTTACCATCGCCATGGAAAGAATCAATGCTGACCTTGGGTCGGCCTTCATCCCCACTATGAAGATAAGGTGTTGAGCAGGGGATTCCGAGACTTGTGTCCTCATGAGTCTCTCCAAGTTAAGGCCAAAGAAACTGCAGGTGATGTTGCAGGAATGCGCATTGCGTCCTGCAAGGATCCTTTGCTGCTAATTACGATCAATACTCTGGGGAGATGTGATGCAAATGGCAGAGAATTGGATCGAATGTCGAGAGGAGCCCGAAGTCATTAGTGCAACCTCGACGAAGAGATTGAAGCGCTGCGAAGTTGAAACAACAGAAGCGGAACTGGCTGTGTTTGATTGACGAGGAACCGGAACAATGGAGGATGAATCCCGAACCAGCCGATTTGTTTGCATCATTTGCGTTGAAGAGGGCTCAATAGTGTCCGAAGTGCCTCTGGTTTGGGTAAACCAGGCACACTGTGCATCTTGACAGGTGTTTGCTAGGGCATTGAATGTGTGCTAGGGCTGCTAGGGCAGGCAAAGCGTAACGGAGGCTCTATCCTTCATACTTTACTAGTGGACCGGCCCTTGAAGGCTTCATATTTCATTCTCTTATTATTATTTATCGATCCGCTCCCCCCCCATAAATAAAAGAGCGAGTAGACACGACCGTGGACGTCCGTGGTGGGGGTGTTTGGAATCGGTCAGCCAGCTCTACTGCTATCACATCCGAAACCCTCAAGTGCTCAAAGTGGCATTGAAAGGGGGGTTTTGAGTTTGGAACAGCCTGCTCCTTGGCCCAAACTCCCCTCGCACCGAGAGATCGATTGAAGAGTGAGAGTCAAATCATCCAACTCCATCAGAGGCCTGTTGCCGGTCTTTTCCCAATCCACGTTGCCACAGAATGAAGTTGGCTTATTTAGTAGGCACAACCCTGGGTTGCGGCTTACAGGGGAGTGGCTTCGGTCCACACACTGGCAGTTCCCATAACATTGCTCGTGTTTACTGGATGCATTAATCTAATTCCTAAAGGATAGCTAGCTAGCTATGAAGCAGAGTACTGTGTCGACCACGGGGGGTCGCTCAAATTGATATGAAGAAGCCTTCCCAATCTAGGCAAGCCTAGATGATTGAGCTGAGTTCTTGTCTGTCAAGAACCATGGATTGCTCAAACCCAAGACAGCCGATGCAACTGTTGGACAAATGGTAGCTGCTGAGGCACCAAGAAGTGATGTCGCGGTGGCCACTTGAAAGTTCCCCGAGGGTCTCGGGGGTAGCTGGGGCAGCTGAATGAGCCTTGCGAGTTCACTGTGAGCAATCAGACTAGACATTTCTCGGAGGGAGACAGCGGATGCAGTTCCTGACAGGCTTAGTCGGCTGGTGTTAGGAAGACACAAAGACGCCTCCCTTGGTGACACCACCGCGCGGCCTATGGTTGGCCCAACAGGTAGTCCACTTAAGGCCAATGCTCGAGGCAGTGAAGCGGTCTTGGTGAATGGGGTTCCTGGAGAAACAAGAGTGGCAACTGGGGTTGGCTCCTTCACTGCCTTGCACACCACCGGAGTTTGGAGATCCTGATGGGTTTGCTCCGCGAGGCCATTGGAAATGCCGGGGAGGGTGGGATAGGAGTACAGATTTGGTTCTGTCTTCGGGGATGCAGCCTTTCTCGGTCCCTTGTTCTTGATAGTCGTACGAATGATGCGAGCCGCGAGTTTTGACATGCCTCGAAGGAAGAGTTCATGGTAGTATCCTGAGATTTGAATTGAATGAAAGCAGGCAGTACGAGTGTAAGACCAATGACTGGTTGGGCCTTGCTGAACAGATTCAAGTGCTTCGTTACGTACCTCCCTTGTCGGGTCCTGGAGTGAAGGGAAATGGCAATCGAAAAGACAGAGATGATTAGAGTCTTTGTTCTCCACCAACAAATGACATTTGCAAGCTCAAACTTACCCTGAGTCAAACGCTTGAATCCATACAAGTTTAGTTGACGTTGAAAGGATTGGAACTTGGTTTGGCGGAAATACAGGGGCAGAACCTGTTCTGCAAATAGCTTTGGGTTTCGGACAATGAAACACCTGATATGTGCCATGCAGTGAAGCGAAGGAGCAACCAAATGTCAGCCCGCCGATCATCAGTCATCGAGATGAATTGTGCAAGGATACCACATGCTCTGTCTTACCTTCCATGAGGTTGCCACCCCACAATGCTCTCCTTGCCGTCCATTTTAAGCTCCATGAGTGCGTGATGAAGCTTGACTGGGAAGGGTGGATCCCCACCGGGTCCAGGCGCATGGACTGGATTGTCATTCTCCATAGATTCTCTGATCTCCTTGCATGCATAGTCATTATAATTATGAACCACCTTGGCTTCAACGATGGCAAGGGTTTTGGAAGATCCTCCGCGGTTCATGGCCATTTTGATAGAGGAAGAACAAGATATGGTGATCAGAAAGCACTGGATTGGAATGATCCTTTGGCGCTTCTGCCATCAAAAAGCAAAGCCTGGGTGCAAGATTATGAGGAGTGGTCAAGCTTGGGAAAAGAAGGAAGCGTGACACACGCAGCAAACTTTTTGCTCCTTCCCCACACAGCTTTCTGCCCAACATTCAAGCCAACCTAGTGCCAAGCCTCAGCTTTCTACGGAAAGCATGAAGTTGGGAGGAGGTGGGGAGCTGTGTTTCTGGGATGATGTCGTCGCCACCAGAAAATGACCCTCAATGTTCATATTCCTAAAGATGACCATAGGAAACATTCTATTTAAAAGAAAAGGATTGGAGTAAAAGAACATTATGAACATTCTTGCGTGGCGCCCACGATCTCTAATTCCTCCTAACACGTTGACAAAAACCAAAGCTGGAATGTTCCTTGAAGCCTGGTTGAAGGGATGATGTCATTGGTGACAGCTGGTGACGCAATTCGCTTTCTCAACCCGGCAACCGCCTTCGGTTCTCCTTTTCTTATTCGCTCTCAATTCCGTCAATGTTTTTATGTTTTTGGAGCTTTGTCACCAAGACAAGCGTGGCGTCATCGGTCGCAATCACCAACCATGGCAAAGCATTTCCGTTCTCTGCCAGATCTTGTTGGTTAAAAAGTTGCCAAACCGCGGGATCAAGTACAGTGTACAAGCTTTCTTTCAAATCCTGAGTCAGCATCCAACGAAAGGCGACCATGCCACTCGAGTACCTACTCCAGCTCTAGCTAGTAGGCTAGCCAGACTGCAACCAGTAGTCTACCCTCTTGCTGGCTACAGTCGTAGCTAGCTAGTGTGCAGCTTCAGAACTTTCGATGGAAGAGATTCAAATTTTCAAGTCCAGTTCTGTCTATTATTGTTCTCTGAACATGACGAAGTTCAAATATTAATAACAAAAGACGTCACAGAACACAATCGGCAGCTGGCGTACTTTGCAGCTAGCTAGCTATTTTTTGACCACTATCCATTCCATTGACGCTGGTCCTATTGCCCACAGCTGGGAGGCAGTATGCTAGATGTACCTCATGACAGTAATCCAGTCGCATCCAACAGAAGATTCTACGTACGCTGGTGTTGCAGGGACTTCTTCAGTTCATCAGAAAGCTTATTACTTGTTACTTGTGTTACTGATGATGCATTGAAGATTGAAGGAAATCGCTCGGCGGAGACGGATGCTTTTAGGCAGCCAATGAGTGGTTTGTTTCTGAGTCAGCACGATGGCCAAGCAATAGACTCGACTCTCGACTCTGGCAGTACCAGGCATCCCAAATTTGAGGCTAGCTAGTACCGGTACCAGCCATCATTGGCCTTTTTGTAAAAGAACCGGTGGCAGCAAGCTGCCATGCCAACGGGTGCAAAAGAGCTTGCTTTTCTTCTCTCGTCCTTGTATCCAACACCTCACCAAAGGTACCGGTAGCATCCCAATCGGTATCAGATCCTTCTGTATGAAGTTGTTGTACCTTGTACTCTACTAGGAGTATTGCAATACATGTATATGGTGCCTTCCACCAACCTGTAAGCTGACCTGTCGCCAAATCTGCCTACTGCCATTTTGTTGGCCAGAGTGGCTTCTTTCAAAAGTACATGTAGATCTAGAGCTATGTAGAGGGTTCCTGTGCAGAACTTCTTGAAGGCAGTTGTGGCTGAACTATTAGATTTTCTACATCAGGGAGCTCCATTTGTAATTGGTTGGACCTTGAAGGGGGCCATGCGAAAGACTTGGCAGCTTGGCAGAGTCCCGTAACTATCAACTTCTTCTTATTGAAACAGAGAGGTACAATGTATCTGCTCCCCCGAAGATGCCGATGGACAGCCTCAACTTCTGTTTCTCTGTCCATAGGATAGAAAGGTAGAAACGTACCGTTGGGGTTCATTGGTGAGGTGGCCAAATAAATACTGGCAACCGACGAGGAGCTATGGAGCTAGCTAGCTAGATGTATGAAGATCATAAGATCATTGGTTTTTCTTGGGAACTTGTTGATTGAGAGCTGCAATTGACCACTGTCCCACTATTCTTGTACAATTGGGGCTCTCGTTAATGCCGACTTTTTAAGAGCACATACACACTAGATACTACTCTTCCGTACACCAAAATTAAACTAGTAATGAATTCTGGTCAAAACAGGTATGATAGCAAAAGTATCATAATATATATCATAATGTGGACGAGCCACTGGCGTGTGGCTCTTGATTGCTAATTCCTATGCCCTGCTTGCATTAGCTAAGCTGAAGATCAGGTACTCTATTTATTTCGGATGTTGGCAAGCTAGCCACTAGCCACTCAGCTACTCAGCTCTTAGCTCCACTCCGCTACTCCGAGGAGTCTGCGTCCTCCTCCGAACTCCAAACTCCCCATCCGGTCTTCTGATATGAGATTTCAGCGTTCACGCAATTGGCAGCACGGCCTGTTTGGATTGGAGATGAAGCATGGCGTGCCTACTCGTACTTTGTATGACCTCCTAACATTCTTTGACCTCATTGGTTGTTTCCCTTGCCATTGACCGCTGCGGTTGTAGTACATGTATTAGCAAGCTGTGTACGGAGTTGGTTGGTTGAGCTTGTGAGAGGCAATCGATTACCCTGCTCTGCTAGCTTACGGTACCGGTTCCAGACACACACGACTCGACTCGACTCGACTCAACTGTCGGTCACTCAGTCGAGTCTCAGTCGAGTCTCAGCCGAGTCGAGTCTAGCTAGCTAGTCGAGTCACCCTCAGCTCATCGAATCGGTTCGAATAAATGTTTGTCAATCATCGACTGCATCGAATTCTGTCTGTCCATCACACCATTGAGAAAAATGAGCGGCAGTGGTGGCAGGTTTGACAACCGTCACCCTCCTTCGAAACCTGCTCGACGCTCACATACATGGAGGGCTGCTGAGATCAGGCCAAGCAAGAAGCATTGAAAACCAATCTCTGCCCACAGCATTCCAAAGCAGCAGAAAGCCTCGCTACAGGAGCCAAACTATCATGCCGTCCTTCAAAGTTTCTCTGTTGGACTATGGAGCTGGAAATGTGAGATCGGTTCGCAACGCCATCACCAGCAATGGCTACGAGATTGAGGACATCACGACGCCCTCCCAGATCGATGAGGCCAAGGTTCTGATTTTCCCGGGAGTTGGGTCCTACGGTTCGGCCATGAAAGTGTTGCACGAAAAGGGATTCTACGAACCACTCAAAAAGTACCTGGCCAACCATGATCGTCCCTTTTTGGGTATTTGCTTGGGCATGCAGACTCTTTTTGAGTCTTCTGATGAGTTCAGCCCCGACGCAGATCATGCCATTGAAGGATTGGGAGTGATCCCTGGAAAGGTTCGCAAGTTTGACGAAACCAAAATGGCAGTTCCCCACATTGGTTGGAACGGACGCATTCATCACCAAGAAAGTCCCGTGCTGAAATATGTGGCCCCGGAAGAAGATGTTTATTTCGTCCACTCCTACTTTGCACCTGTAAATGACGACAACAAAGACTGGGCCATGACCAGTACTACCTATGGTGGGCAGCACTTTATGAGTTCGGTTCACAAGGGGAGTCTCGTTGGTTGTCAATTCCATCCAGAAAAAAGCGGTGTCACCGGTTTGAATGTGTTGAAGGGATTCCTAGAGGTATGCTCGTTTGATGAAATATATTATTGGACAAAGGAAGGAATGCATGTATTGGTTGGTTTATTGATGCGAGAGACTAAACTTGCCTCAAAATCATTTTCTATTGCAACGTTAGGCAGTTGAGAATGGAACTTTGAATCAAACCAAATCGCTCACAGTGAACCCCGACGCCACTACTCAATTGGTTAAGCGTGTGGTGATTGCACTTGACGTGCGATCCAATGATCATGGAGACTTGGTTGTCACAAAAGGAGATCAGTACGATGTACGTGAAAACGAAAAGGAAGGTGTTGTGGAGGGCCGTGGTGGAGTGAGGAATCTTGGAAAACCTGTTGCCTTGGCCAGTCGCTACTACCAAGAAGGTGGTGATGAGATTGCATTTCTCAACATTACCAGTTTCCGCCAAGGCGTCATCGAAGACATGCCTATGCTGCAGGTCCTAGAGGAGGCTTCAAAGAGCATCTTTGTTCCTTTGACGGTGGGAGGTGGCATTCGCAGCTACACAGATCCGCAGTCAGGACAAACATGGTCCGCATTGGAAGTGGCAAATCGATATTTCCGTGCTGGCGCTGATAAGGTCAGTATAGGTAGCGACGCCGTCATTGCTTCAGAAGACTACATCAAATCTGGTAAGAAGAAGACCGGTGAGACTTCCATAGAAATGATCTCGCATGTGTACGGAGCGCAGGCAGTTGTAATATCTATCGACCCAAAGCGTGTTTATGTTAAGAGCAAGGATGAAGTTGTGAACAAAGATCACGTGGTAGTTGAACTCGACAAGTCACAGGCTGGGCCCAATGGAGAGACGCTGTGCTGGTATCAATGTACTGTCAAGGGCGGCCGGGAAGCCAAGGACATTTGCGCTGTGACGGTAGCCAAGTCCGTGGAAGATCTTGGTGCCGGCGAGATTATGCTCAACTGTATCGACATGGATGGACAATGCAAGGGTTTTGATATCCCCTTAATGAATGCAGTGTCAAATGCCGTCACTATCCCTGTCATTGCTAGTAGCGGAGCCGGGAAGCCGGAGCACTTCAGTGACGTCTTCAAGGAGACCAAAGTCCAGGCTGCCCTGGCTGCTGGGATGTTCCATCGAAAAGAGGTTGAGATTGAAGAAGTGAAAGAGCACATGCGACAACAAAGCATTCCAACTCGGACAAAGGCCGCCACAGTACAGGGAAGTTAGGTAGTAGCTGGGTTGGGTCGATAAGCCCAGAAAAGACTTGGCCACCCTCTATTAGCTAGCTAGCTAGACACGCTTTTACAATTGCTGCCACTCGTTTGTTTGTCCTTGTCAAAACGTTACTGAGCCGAGTGATGACTCCGTCGATGCTGCTGGCGAGGCGGTTTCAAGTTTCAAGCGATCGACCTGCGACCTTTGGGCCCTGACCCAGCGACGGTGTAGCCAGGACAAAGCACAAGCACTGGCTACAGCTGGTCAGCAAGTACAGAAAGCTGCATTGACTTGGATATTGTTCAAGACAGTTAAAGGTTCAAAAACAGTTGTTAATTATGTAGCGTGCTGGCAGATCAACTGGACTGCCTCAATTGAATGGATAAATAGCGACGAGTCATTAGACTGGAATACGAGAAAAACGAAGCAGTCGTCATATCCTACTTGATCTGCTCCTTTGTATCCTTTGGAAAAAGTCTCCGACTACTTGTGGTGGTGGTGGTGTGAAGCTGCTGCTTCGGGGAACGGAATTCGTTTGCCCTTCTCGGGGCCGTGGCTGATGAACACCAAGGGTTTGTACTCCTCATCTTTTTCCATAAGAGCCGAGTTCTCAAAGCGTTTCAACATAGCCGCTTTGCCTTGGATCCGAGCATATGTGATATCGCAGATCTTGTCACTGTTGAAAGTGCTCCAGTGTTTTCCAAAGTACCTCCGGTGGAACGGTAGAATGTCCTTGAAGTCAACAAAGTTGATGAAGGCATACCCTCTGTTGCATCTGTTCTTGAAATCGATTGGAAGGTAGAAAAAATCAATGACACCCGGTCCCAGGCCATTCTCGGTGAATTCTGCCAACAACATTTGCTGAGTATACTTGTTTGGGATGTTCCGTACCATCAACGAAGTGCGACCATCACGCCCATTTTCAACAGATTCCAAGTCCAGGACCAAGTGTTTGTTGTCTTTCTCGCCTCCTTCAACCGATGCGTTGGAGGCATTACTACTATGGTGAGGATGAGGATGGTGCTGCTGGTGATGATTATGATGATGCATTCCACCGTGGGAGTGATGATCATTTTGATTGGAATAGTACGGGCCAGACATCCTGTCCCCTCGTTCTCGGCTGTCCACCGAATGGTAGGAAGCATTCGAATATTGAGGTTGGGAAGATACGTTCCGATTCTGCGAAGGTTGCCAGTAATCTCGGGAAGACTGTGGGCCGCCCTGTCGATAGTTTGAATGAGACGACGCTGGTACCGCAAGCGTCGTGATGTAGATTTCTCCATTCGGCCCGTGTACGATCTGTTGCCTTTGGGGCTCGATGTGCTCTTGCTGCTGCTGGTTTCGCCTGTAAGGAGAGTGAAAATCGTTGGAAGGATTCTGCGGAAATCCACTGGATTGGTTGTTGACAACCATATAGGAGTATCGTCCATCTGGCCCGAGTACCAATTGAGTCATCTCTGTCGGCGCGGCCACTGCTGGTGAAGACGAAGTCGACGATTCTGCTCCGCGATAAATGATGGCTCCGTGGTTGAGATGCGAGGGAGCGTCAAAGTTTCTGGCTATCGATGCTGCCGGTGACTTTGGTCCGTGCCTCCAGCGACCAATCACTCCCAACAGCTCCCTGCCTCTCTTTTTATCAATAGGTTGTCTCATTGCAACCTCGACGGCGACGTCCGCGCCCCAAGGCTGCGTGCTGGACAGTTCAAGGAGGGCCTGTTTGGCATCTTGGACATTGTGGAACTCTACCTCAAACGAAGACCCACCGTAGTACCCGCCATGCCGCTTCAAAGACCGAACGGCTCCATAGGTCGATAACATGGATATCAACGAGTGCTCATCGAAATATGGAGGAACGTCGGACAGGATCAGTCGACTTTCGTCTGTCTGCGACGAAGAGTTCAGTGGGACGGAATAGTACACTCGAACATCCGGGCTACTGCCTCCTCTATCGTTCTCACGACGTTTCAGCACCGCTTCCAAGTCCAGGGCCGCATATTGGGCGCTTCTCATGTCAAAGTACGAAACAAAAATGATTCCTCGGTCGGCAAAATCGGAACGGAAGGTGTCAATCACACCAAACGCTTCACAGGATGATCGGACCTCAGGGATTTGCAAGCTTGCCGCACGCAGAATGGCTAGACATCGACTCGGATCCACGGAGGTTTGTTGCTGTTGTTGCTGTCCTCCACGATACATCATTTGATGTTGAGGCACACGTGTGTCCCAAAGGAAAGGACGTAACTCAGCCTCTGCAATCTTTCTCGACGATTGCGACCCAGCCGAACGCGAGTCTGCGTTGTTGAGGGTTCGATCCAAGTGAGATTGTTGTCGACTTCCAGACTGCCGACTGGCCTGTCCCAGGCTTGCATCGTCGTCTCTCCACAGGTTTCGCATTCCGTGTTCAAGCTCGTAAGTAGCCGTGCTGTTTAGAGGTTTCTGTTCGTATAAGTGTTGTTGAGGCTGTTGCTGACACTGAGGGTCGTTGCAGTACTCTTGCTGATCTTGCATGAGTGCGGCAAGGACGCCACCTCCATCGTCAGCGGGAAAGCCCGAATCTGCAGCGTTGGGTATATCACGAGGTGTTCTCTGTTCATTCCCTGGTTCCATGACTGTGACGCCTAGATCTTTGGAGACGGGAAGCTGTCCTCGACGAGCTGCATTGGGTCCAAACATGCTAAGTGGAGACAAGTCACGTCGCAGGAGGGCTTGATCAGCTTTTCCAAATTCGTCCTCGTTGAACGTTCCCGGTAGGAATCCACCGCCCTGGAAGTGATCACTCTCTGACCTGACGCTTTGACTTCCACCGCCATGCTTTGGCGCCGACGAGGGAGGAAGGTGTAAATCTTGATTATTGAGTTGGAGCCCACCTCCCAGAGTGGATGGTGCTGTCCCCATCAAACCACCTCCTATGTCCAATCCAAAGGGATCAACACGTGGAGGACTGCCGATCAGGCGCCGAGCCATGGCATGCCGCGATTGTCTGGCAAAGCTAAGATCTTGAGCATGATTATTGTTGCCGTGTGGATCTCCACCACCAAGGGCATCGTCCATGGATTCCGCCAGTCCAGTTCCCAGAACAGCGGCCAAATTGGCATAGCTGGAGGTTCTTCCACCGGTTGCCTGTGCCATTTCAGCAGACAAAGCACTGCTTGGTCCTCTAGTGTCGACGACGGAGGGTGCGTTGCGAGGGTCGGTATATCCTGGCTGAAAGTTCTTGGCTTTGGACGGGGTCGACGACGATTTGTTAAAGCCAGGGGGAGGAGGCGATGCCTGATTGCGTGGTACGCCTGCTACAAAACCGGGAGGAATGGGAGAAGACGCTGGATTAGGGGCTCCATGTTGTGGCCAGACAGCTCCAACTCCGACGGAGTGGTCGTGGGGACTGCTGTAATGTCCCTGTTGACTTTCTACAAGTGGCTTGTCGGGTGATGTCATGGTGCCGGAACTTCCGTTGATGGGTTCTTCGTGCGACTGTCAGAATATGCCTTCGACGGCTTTTTTGAGTCTATCGATCAACAAGCACCAGCAAACAATCCTCTGATCCGTGAGTCTCTCTCCAATCAAGGGATCCTCCTCCTGTGCTTCTTGGTGGTCGCAACGGTCGGTTCGATTCTAGTAGACTAACTGGCTCTGTTGGGTGTCGTGCTTTGTTCTTGGCTTGCAATGACGGGCGTCCAATGGGTTTTCTGTCTCAAGTCTCTTTAGTATTCACGTGTGTTGGCCTATGCCTAGAGAGCAGTCGTTCTCCTATCAATGAAACAATGACCTCTCGTAGTGTAAACTCTCCTTTACTCCACGGAGAGACCAGCGTACTCGGCACGGTTCTCGTTTTTCTGGTATTGATGTCTGACTGATTCAGTGGTCCTAACTGCTCTATGTTTCGATGCTTTCTCTTTGCTTCCTCTACAAGGGCGGCATCTTCCTCTCAGAATGCTAATGATAGGTGTGGATCAGTTAGCTGGTCCGGTAGTCGTATGGAGTGGAGTGGGCAGATAGTTGCCGCTGTGTTGCAATTGCACAAAGTAAAAGGGTGTCGGCGAAGGGTCAATCGTAGGCTTGGTTGATTATTTCTTCCAAGTGCCACAAGGATGTTCGAGAAGGTAAGGAAGGAACTGGGCTGTGATTGGCCCGTCAATGCGTGAACTACTACAGCGTCTGTCCTTTTCTCCGATGGCTGATCCACCTCACAACCGATTTACAAAAAGGTTGATGGGGTAAACTATTTTGGGCTATTGGCGACTACAGTAATGGGTGGCCTCTGTCTCTAACATCCCGAACATGTATGTTTCTCAACCCTGACAATGCCGGTGGCAAGTTAAACAACAACAGAAACAGCGTACCAACACAATAAGTTATAAGCTACGGTACTGACCCAGCAATGGTGGGAATACAACTCAAAAATACAGCTAAAAGACAGTTTCAGTTCTCCAAAAAAGACCAAAGAAATGTTGGAACACAGCTCAGATACCGTTTGTTTTGGTATCAAAATCCCGAACGGGGATGTCCTACTAGTCAGCTACTGGGTAGCCAGGCAACAGGCAACCAGGGAGGCCCAAATTAAACAACCAAGTCAACGCTTGTCAACCATTCTGTTGGGCTGGACAAGGAAATAGTTTCCCAGAAACATTTCCTCATCTCCCACTTGGCGAACTTGAAGAAGCGAAATGGCATGAGCATCAACCTCAGAGAACCAGAACACTGCTGTCACGAAGGAAAAGACCACTATTGATGAGTGCACTTCCAGGTACTGGTACTGGTACCGCTGTAAAGTGTAAACCAGACAGACAATCCTCCAAGGCCTTTCAATCCAAGCCTCCATTGTTCCTTTTACGTAATGATCGAGTGACGTTGGATGATACCATGAATCAAAACTAATTCCCTAACTCCCGAGAAATATAGACCTCATAATCAACCCCCTCCAGAGCCGAGCCGAGGATTTCTCAGGCTTGCAGATGTTGCATGGTTGCATGCTGGTGTCTTGAAGTCGTGACAGCATGTACCGTATGCAGACATATGCATAGTGTCTTGCTTTGCAACACGATCCTGCTTGAACACTTTTCACTGTGGAGTATGATTGACTGTTAGCTTTGAGGTTCTTGTGGGGTAGGTTTTGTGCCTTTCTTCTGAAGTTGCCTTGCATAGTTTGGTTGGCTTTACCATAATATTTCTTGCCAGTGTTGATACACGTGACCTCGTATATGGTGATTTTGATGCATCAGATGTTCAAGTAAGTTAGATCTAGTTGTACACAACATGTACCGTACCTCCCCACAGCCTTGGTTTTGTCCCAGTTGAGAAAAGACGATTTTGCGGAGATGAGTTGTCTTGGGAAAGATCTCTTGGGTGTGTGGCTTGTGGATCAGGAGGACATTGCTACTCTGATCCAGCCTATTCTACTTTTTGTTGGTTTTTGTATTGGTGTGGTCCGACAACCCAGGACCGTCCGACGGTTTTTGCTCAGGTTTAAAAACTGCTCAAATCGTGGTTCTCGTTGAGGGAATGTTAAGGGAATGTTGAAGCTTTAAGGGAATGTTAAGGAAATGTTGAGGATTTAAGGGGATGTTTTAAGGGAATGTTTATTTAAGGGAATGATCCTTTTTTTAAGAGAAAGTTCTATGGGGTTTACATGAAGGCTTAGAGGAATGTTTCGAAGCCTTAAGGGAATGTTGTTAAGGGAATGGTGATTTAAGGGAATGTTAAGGGAATGTTGAGGATTTAAGGGAATGTTTTAAGGGAATGTTTTAAGGGAATGTTTAAGGGAATGTTTCCACTGCGATATTTTAAGTTTTTTTTTTAAAACCTGAGCGAAAACCATCGGACGGTCCAGCTCAAGAGTGTTTGTAATACGAAGGTGGGGTATCATAGAGGAGCACTCCTAGCTAGCCAGCTACAGTACTCAGAGCATGTTAATCCGTTAGAACCGTGGCCAATTATTTGATGCTGCCGGACAATGAAAGACACTATTATTCCGACTTGCCAGCAAGCCTGCCGGCTATGCTTCTTTGTAAAGGGCCTCTTAAAGGCTTTTCGAAATGAAGATTGCGGTTACGAATGATCATTGAGCGAATTCTCTAGTAGCTAGCTAGCTAGAGCCAGTTAGGATTGGGGCTGGGAACGCAATTGCGAAGGAGAGGCACATCTTGGTATGCAAGCAAATCAATGGAGGAAAGGGGGCTAGCTAGGGTACGTATGCGAAGGTGTGAAGGAGAAATTTTGCTGCTGTTGCCTGCGTGGGGATGACAGTCGCACAGTAGAAGAGCTCGAGTTACCGACCGGAACATGTATGTACTCTACAGCCAGCTAGAAGACATCTTCAACCTGGAACCAGCCTTTGAGCCTTCGATCTGTTTGGTAGGTACTAGTACAGATAGTTGTGGCTCATTCGTGAAAATGCAACTTGATTGTGCGGTGACCCGGCCAGCCATCCAGATCCAGAATGTGTTTGATGCTCCACGGAAGGTTGTCACTTTGCTTTCCTTGAAGCAAATCAAAGTAACAAGCTGGCTGTGCATGTCTGAAACCGAGGCATTGGCTCCCAAATCTTGGCCACCGTTGGTCTGTGTGGTCCCGGGAATGCCCTGGAATTCATTATTGACGTCGTCGTCATTGATGGTTGTTGTAGTAGCTGATCCACCACTGTGACGCCAAATGGGTTAGATTGATGTGGACTTACCCAAGTGTTCTCCAGCCCACATTTCCGCTCTTCTTGCAGATTGTCGAAGTGCCATCTCATTGGTACCGTGACATTGTATGATAGCACATCCTGGGGTACTGTTGCTATGGGGCTAGTAGGAGGGTAGCAGTCGAGCGAATGTTGTCATTTCAAGCTGGCTGTGCCTCGTCCTACCTATGACGTCATTCTTGCTTGGTACCATTGACTTTTTAATTATATATACACAGAGAACTATCATATTTCCAGCCCCTTTAGTAGGACTGTCATCCTTCGAGCTTTTGATGAGAGGAGCCATCAACCATCACGCCACTGGTGCACAACTAACGACCCATTTTTCCATTCTGAAAGTCAACCATTGCCTGCCTTAACTGCTCCTGGGTGTTCATCACAAAAGGTCCTCGATGGGCGATGGGTTCATTCAGGGGTTCACCTCCCAAAATCATAATGCTGGTGCCAGGTTCCATCACACGAACCTTGAGCATAGCACTTCCATCTGTGCTCATCAAAGCCACGTCTTGGGGCCCCAACTGAGAAGCTTTCAAGTCTTCCACCTCACCACCGAGGACTTCCACACTTCCCATTCGAACAAACACAATACAATTGTGATTTGCAGCAAAGGGAAACTCTACTTCGCTCCCTTCCTTGGGCAGGTTGACATCCCACATCTGTACAGGTGAGTAGGTTTTGGCGGCACCCTTGTTGTCACCCAGCTCTCCAGCAATGATGCGTGCTGTCCCAAGAGACTCTGAGTCCTCTTCTGCACCCAATGGTAGATTGACAACGGGAATGTTTTCATTCATGATCCCCTGGTATCCTGGCTTGGCCATTTTGTGCTTCTTGGGAAGATTTACCCACAACTGACACATCTCAAAAGTGCCTCCTTCCCGCGTTAACTTCTTGGAGTGGTATTCTTGGTGAAGGATGCCACGTCCTGCTGTCATCCACTGGACATCCCCTTCCTTGATAACTCCACTTTTTCCTGTGGAATCATGGTGCTCCACTTCGCCTTGGAAGGCTAGAGTCACAGTTTCGAAACCCCTGTGTGGGTGCTGACCCACGCCTCTTGGCTTGCCCACCTTGGAAGAAAACTGCTTGGGGGCAGCGTAGTCGAACATGAGAAGCGGACTAATCTCCTCTTTGAAAGCGAGATCAGCAAAAACGGGGAATACATGGAAACCGTCACCCACCCAATGCTTGGGTGGACGTGGCATCACGCGCTTCACAGATCGGTATCGAGGGAGAGGGGACATCTTGATGCTTTGTTCTTGACAGGTGTTCGATGCGATCAATGCGCTTGTTGGCAAAAGAAGGCAAGATAGTGTTACGATACTGATGATAGCTTTCATCGAAGTTTTTTGTTTTGGTTTATGATCTCTTCAGGCGGTTGCTTCCTCTTGTTTTTCTCGGACCAGCTCAGGTCGGCGACACCGGCATCCGTCGGTGATGTTGCGAAAAGTGGGAGACACCGGCATCCGTCGGTGATGTTGCGAAAAGTGATTGATTCAAATTTTACAATTGAGTAATTGTGAAATGTAAATTTGAAAGTAAAGGCGTTACTAGTACAATATTTTTTTTAATAGTTTCAAACTGGTAGTTTCGTGAAAAATAAAGCAGAAAATGACCCTTCCGGTACAGTTCACCCGAAAACGGCGGGAGTTTCCGGGGGATGGGCAAATCTTGCAATAGCCCTGAATTGTAATGGAGTGTGACTCGCCAAAATCAGTTAAAAAGACGAAATTCGTATTTTTGCCGGAAGATACATTTAATTGGATTGCATTGGATTGGATTGCATTGAATTGGATTGAATTGGATTCCAAATAGTACTGTTATTTGTATAGTAAGCTGTAATTCAATGCAATCCAATCTAATCCAATCTAATCCAATGCAATCCAATCAAATCCAATAGAGAAAAACAGCCAAAGTGAAAGATTGGCTTAGCGCACACAATTTTTACAAAAACGCTCTAACAAATTCAACACAGAGCCATGGGCAAGTTTGCTCATCCCCCCGGGCGTGGCAGCTGACGCTGTTAATAATTCCTTCCGCCTTCCAAGAACCCAACGAACGAGGCTCCGACGAATCGAATCGAGTCGAATCGAATCAGAATCGAATCGAATCAGCCTGAAGACCAAGAAAGAAAGGTCGCAATGTGTGGCATCGGCGCCTCCCATCGGTTTCGGCCGTGTCGCCTTGGCTGTTAGGCAAGTGAAGGCGGCAGTCGAAATCAGAATTCCCTTTCAATCGAGGGAGCGATAGTCAACTGTCCAGCAGGGATGATTCGATCTCTCGGAAATGCGATGCGTTGCTTGCAATTTGCCCCAGCCTGTGAGCCACCTTGAGTACTGAGCGCGTTGCTGCTGGTACCACCAGTAGCATCGCTGCACGCTGAGTGAAGCAACTTGCAAGCCAATGGAGGAACCTGGGGATAGTGTCTCGATGCAAGCTCGAAAATATGTGCGGTTTCTGTCTTGTGAAACCAGGAAGGCGGAAGCGGCAGTTGAATACATCAGGGTGAGGAACCGTCTTTGCCTGGTGCAGACTGAGACTCAGCTGTCGCATGTGATTGCGGGCTAGCAACTTGCATTGCAACGTCTGCGAGGCAGTAATAGTTGTTTGTTTGGCTTCTACACTATTCTTTACATTCATAAGTATAGACTGATTCTACTTTTGTACCGTACCTTTTGCCACAACACTTTGTGCAGCGCGCTTCTGTGCCTTTCTCGTATTCGCTTCGTCTTAGGCTGCAACCAGCTCTCAGGAAACGAGACTCGCCCAGTCAAAGCAAGGAACAGATTAGTGACTGTAGTCTAACTCCTTCGCAGCCTGTTCCGTTTCTTGCTTGGCTGCAGCAGCGACCTCTTCGGTTTTGAATTGGGTGGAGTGTCAAGGTGCAAACCCAAGAGTGCGCGCACACGGTAGCTGATGAGCGGGCGCCATGACGTACTTCCACTTCCACTCCTGGTATTCGCCTTCGTCTTGAGTTTCAAACTTGTCCTAACTAAAAGCAACTGACACCGCAGTTCCAGTAACTCCTTGGCTTCTTTTCGACGGGATGCTGTTTCGCAGCCCTTGCCTTGAGCGTTTCCTGAGCCAATATCATCTGTTTGTCATGTGACAGGGTTGCCAGGGCTTCGCAAGCAACCTCGGATATCGCTTCGTCAGTGGCAAAGCGGGCCAAGGCAGCGTTGATAAGACTAACTCCTCCATTACCATTGATGACATTAGCATTTTCCGTTTTGCTAGCAAGCTTCCACAGAGCCATGCAGGCAGCTTCTTGTACATTGATATCTTCCTCGTGGCGTTTCATCCCTGACAGGATGAGTTCAATGCCACCTTCCTTTCGAATCGTATCCGAAAAGGGTCGGGCCATTTTGGCTATGATAAGGAAGATCTGCTGAACAACGACAGGGTCGCTGCCGTGCCTTCGGACAACATTCAGCAAGAGTTCCATCCCTCCTTCCGACATGAGACCAGCTGCCACAGCGTTTCCTTCAGACTGGGAAAGATGCTGAATCAACGTTGTCCCATGACGCTGCACTTCCTTGTTGAGACTACATGTCTCTAAACTCTTGGTGATGACTTCCAACCCATACAAGGTGGCGATCTTGGCTCGATTCCTCTGACTGGTCTTGCATAGGATGCAGAGCAATGCCATGCCCTGGCTCTGCATCTTTTCGTTCTTACGAAAGAGCAGCATCATGGCAAGAACCCGTTCCATTGAAACAGTCATTGCAACTTCTTCATCGAGCGCTGCATCGTGAACGGATGACGTAATGTTGATCAGAATATCAAAAGCACATTCGATAACTTCGGTATTATCATCGTGGTTTTTGAGTGTCCGACGGATCCAGTCCAAGCCGCCTCGGTGCACAATGCTCCGACTGCAATCGGGACATTCCGAAGCAATGGAGGCCAATGCACGGCATGCCATGCGCTGAAGCCTCGCAGCTTTAGGATGATCCTTCATGGCGTGAAGAATCGCAGTGGTGGCAAGCTTGGCATTATCTCCAAAGGCTTGTTTGCCGCGGTTGTTATTCCGGGTAATGCATTCAATGGCCCTACAAGCTTCCTTTTGCAAGTCTTCTTCGGCTCGGTGTTTCTCCATTGCAATCAAGATCTTATCACACCCACCCTTGTCAACAATCGATTCGACATTGGGTAGACCCTTGGTCGCCATTTCAGCGAGAGCTTTACAGCCTCGAGTTTGGATCTTATTATTGTTTCCGAACCGCTTCATCGCATTGATGATGGAGAGGTCGGCGCCCTGTATAACGAGTTCATGGTTCTTGATTCGCAGAGCGAACTCCAAGACGATTGTCGCTGCTTCTTTCTCATCTTTGGTCTCTCTTAGTTGCATCACCAATACTTCGAGGCGTTCTGTCGATAGTTTGAAGTCAGGAGCAGAGGCCGAAGAAGCTGCCGTTCTCCGAGACGCCGCAGTGGAAGATGACTTTAGGGCGTGATGCTCAGCGCTTCTATAGGATGGGGAAGACTCCACACAACTGCTGTCATCTGCATTCGACCCTGATAGCGTCAGAGAATGCAATGCTCTGATTGCCAATGCCTTGCTATTGCTTTTCGCACCCCCTCCCCGAAGCGGATGCTGTGGTGGATGCCTTGCGTGTCTCTGCTTTGTCTTGGTTTGCTGCTTGGGCGGCGCTTGATCTCGAATGGGAGATGGTTGACGTGATTCGTCCTTGTTGACTGTGGTGACGCCGTCCAGAGATGAGACTGCTGTTGTCAAGGTCTGCTCACCGCTTGCATCGTATGTCTCTGAAGAAAAATGACGAGTCGATGCATATGGGCTACTTGTCTGAGTCGTGTCATTCAGTGAAAGCACTTTCGCCGTATTGATTTCTAGCGATTTCTTTTTTGGTGGCAGCTTTTGCTTCATCTCAACCTTCACGCTTGTCGGAGGTCGGACGCAGTCTGCCATCATCTCCAAATTGGTCGTTGATACGGGATCGTCATCAATTGTGCCATGCCAAGTGTGGGCGTCCGAGTGCTTTGATGTCTTCTTTGCCGAGCTCTTAGATCTTGGAGAGTTGCGTCCACGAGAGCTACCCCTTGCCGATCGCGCTGCCGATACTGCTATCGATGGGGTGCCGATACCGGTATCCTTCATGGTCTCTTGATCTTTCTTGCTTTTGGTGGATGAGATGTGATATGGTGGCAATCAAGCTCGAAGAATGAGCGATAGTCTGCGGATCGGTGCTGTTGGGGTCCACGTGATGATAATTATCTTCCGCTTCCTCTAAATACCATCGCTGTCACCCGCTGCTTGCCTAATTACCCGTCGCTAAACCATCCGTTTCAACGCCCGCCAAAATTTGAGATGCAAATGCTCACGTTTTGGTTTTATTTCCATCTTTCCCTTGACACTTTTACGGTACGACTGTAACAGGTACCAGGTACCGGTTCCTGGTGGTACCGGTACTCACTTCCAGTACCCAACTTGTTGCATGGCCATGGGTGGCAGAACCTCCCAATTTGAGTGATTTCACTATCATTGATGCGATAATACACTCATCAGTATGAAAATTGAGTTATCTCAAAGCAGGTTCAAAGTTGCGTGGTTCGTCCATGTAGTGGGTATGCAGGGGAAATCCACGAATTCAATTGGATCCCACGAGTTAGATCGTTAGATCCAATGAGACCGAATAAAACCACGGGCCTTGTCAAGAAAAAGTGGGATCTCTTTGCAATTATAGAAGCTAGATGTACATTTACTGCAGGAAGTTGAAGACGATGAAGCAAAATGGAAATCTACGTGATTAAAACAGCACGTACAAGAAAGCTGTGGCACTGTGTCCCCCCAAGCTACAGATCGAAATCTCGCAATACCTGGAGAGAAGGGCACAGACGCCAAGAATCCACCTCCACCATCGCATCAATATAATCAAGCATAAGAAATGACGTTCACCTGTTGCTGACGTGCAGATGGACTTATTAGGACGACTGAGACAGGAATAATCCTGTCGTTCCACAGCATTTAAGGTTATGTGTTTCAAGGAACTTTTCCCTTCCAGCTCGTGACGATGTGAGTACTGGTGACCCTATCAACTTACTGCAGTAATTCTCTTCTGGATCGGCTTGAAAGAAAGAATGCAACAGCAAAAGGTGCGTCTGCAGAAGCCGAGTGGATGGGACAATGACCACGTGACTTCCACCGTTGGCCCGACATTACCCGGAAATCAGTGCCTAATGGATTCGTGAAGAGTGCAATTGATTCGATTCCGACCTGCCTTTTCTCAGCAAATGAATGAGCTGATGATTGCCGAATAATATCAGTACTGGTACAATTGCATTCCCGAATACTGGTTGCACTGCAGTCGAAGAAGTCAAGAACAACAATCCAAACTGAAGCTGTACGCTGTACGTATGGCGTCCGATGTCTGCGGGAAGGAATCTACCAAATGAGGACTTGACATCAAGTATCGACTGCTGCATCAGTCAGCGTCTTCAATTCCAGCAAAGGCGTGCGAGTATGGCTTTGCTGGAACAGACAGTCCCGGTGGGAGATCGATTCTTGGCTGCTGTCCCTCCCACCTTTGGGTGCTGCTGCTTGGCGCTGTTGCTTGTTCTTGGCCACGCTTCTGATTTGGCTTGTATTGGCTGACAATCAATGTTTCTTTGCATTCTGTCATCGCAAAAAGTAAGTCGCGGACTGCCGGAAAACAAGTGGGAGCAGGAGTCATAATCAACAATCAGCCATCCACTTTATTGCTACCCACCAACAGACGAAGAGATTGATAACAGAGTATGGACTTCTTCTATTACTAGTTCTGTCTATGGGTAAGTGTGACCCATCTTTTGTGGCGACCAGTAGATGTGGGAGTCGACAGGATACAATGGGGCTGATATGGCTGGGTGACATACCATTCCTTTCGCTGTTTTGGATTCGAGATGGATGGAGTTGACAAATGCGGAGCCTTCGTGTCGATTAGTGAAATCTTCTGGCAAGCTTAAATTACTAAATTACCTCCGTTTGGTTACTGGATGATAAGGTGAGACTGCAGCACTCTATTACTCCAGAGTAGTGGTGTAAGACGTTGTGCAATGCACGTGTTGAAAGTCCGGCATTGTTTTTCATCTTCAAGCCGCTCGAACTGGGAATGAACCGAACTTTTCTTCTTGATGCGGTCGCCTTCAAGACATCATGCGCGCTCTTGATTTGGTTTTTGGCTGGCACCATCCTGAACAGAGTACGTAGTATGAAGATTTAGTACGGACGGATACTTCCAAACAACTGTGATTGACCTCTCAGGGCCTAGATGATTTAATAACCACTTCAATGATGAATTCATTCCTCCAGAATTATAATCATCAAGGTACCCCAACCGTTCCAGTCGCACACCGAAACACACTTCTCACCAGTCGACAAAAGTGCTTTGAAATTAGATGGGGTATTTTGCTACGTTGGTAATCAAAGCTTACCTCAACCTCAACCTTTTTTACCTGTCAACAGGCGATTGCGTGAGTTGTGGAGCTATTAATACAGTAGATCCTTCGACCCAAGGAGGGGGCAAAAAGCTATAGTTTTAGGTCGTCCTGATACCTGTCAACACAAACCAAAAACATGATTGGGCTAGCTGTGTACTAATAGCCAAACAACCGCAAGCAAAGCGCAAAAGCACCTCGAAGCAAAGCATCCAAAGCAAAAGGATCCTGAACCAAAACAAACAACATCAAAAGATATCTCATAAAACAAATCGAAGGATCAATCAAGAATGCACCACTTTGAATACACTCCTCTCATCACCATGATGCAAAAGTCTGAAGAAGAGTCTCCCGTGAAGATCGCGTTTGACACCGAGGCCAAGAAGACAAGCGGAGGAAACGATGACAATAATACAGATACGAAAATGGAGGCTACCAAGACGAAATCTGAAGAGACGGAGAAGCACATGAAGCAAATCAACACCTTAGCCGAGAAGGGAAAGTCCAACTTGGACATTCAGCGGGAAAAGGGCTTGAAGACTGGCTTTGCCCCTGGTCCTCTGGATGTCATTTGCGCCAGGGGCAGCGCCGCGAGAAGACACGCTGGCAATGTTCGATTCATTGCGATTGTAGACTCCCACCTGGCAGAATACAAACAGGCAAAAAACAAACTTGAGAAGTCCATCATCGTATCCTCCGTCGTCTCCTCCATCCGAGAGGCGAGCCCCGATGGCGGTTTCGTCAAGAAGGATGCCAATGGTGTCTGGATCGAGGCAGGAGACTATGCTGCCAGAGAAAAAGTTGGTCAAAGGTACGTTCCACCTTGTGCTTCGTGTTCTCCAATGTCGCCTGCCTTCACAGTCGTCTTACACACTTGCTGCTGCCTCCATTGTTACCATCAACAGACTCCGAGACCTCATTGGAAACCGCTACTCATCGAGCTCCAGGTCCAAGAAACGCCGCCGCAATGCCGACACTGCCAACTTGATTGACCGTGTTGACAATATTGTCCAGCGCTCTGTCGATGGCAAGGCATTGTCTGAACGTGTCGAAGAGCTCATGGCCGAAGGAGGCTCCGAAAAGACCGACGCTGAGGTGCAAGAGATCTTCAACAAGGCCAACTGCGAGCTCTTGGCCAAGTTCAAGCAACAGGAACTCGCCAAGAGGCAGATTCATGATCAGCAGTTGGCAACCCGTCAACAGTACGAGGCCATTCAGCAACTGACAGGCCAAGGAGTGGCACAGCAATTGGATGCGGTGGAAACACAAGACCACAAACGATCCAAAAGCACAACTACCGGTGCCCAGCCATGCCAGGGCATGCTCTCCTCTGTTTCAAACGACATTGAACCCTTGAGTATGGATGATCGTCTTTTCTACGAACCGGTCAAGTTCTCCAATGACGAGGAAGAGAGCCTTGTTAGGGCCCTTAGCGACGACGAGGATGACGACAACAAATCCTTCAAAGGAAAGAGTGCTGCTGTTTAAGTGGACAAACCAAACAAGCCTTGCATCAAAAGTAGTGGAGCATGGCAAACTAGCTTCAAACCACTCAAATATTTGGTCTGACAAACAGCCTCCAGACTGTCACTCGACTTCATACCGGTCCGACCCATGATATCACGCACTCTGACTTATCTGCTTCCTATAACCTATAACTCCGACGCTCAGAGTTTCCTTCACGCCTCCGGGCTCCGGGTGCCACGATGGTACCAGTAGCAACCGACATACATATGATGATAACTAATATTGACTAATGACACAGAAGAACAAAACCTAGTTAGTTAGACTGATTACGATTAGTATCGTATAGAATAACTAACTGATCCATCCATCCATGAGCTTTACTATTGGCGGTCGCATCATCTACACAACACATCGGCAAACGAAGAAAAGACAAAGAAACGGTTCGTCAGCTGAGGGTTCGCGTTCTCAAAAAGATCCAACCGCGACTACTTTTGGCTTCAATCCTGCAACGTTGGAAAAAGAAGAAGCAATGATGGCAAAGCCACAGCAACCCAGCCAACCTTCAACAAGCTAACTTGTCTTCCTCCAGGGTTTGGTGCTGACAACATCCGCTCTTGCCTTCATTGCTACAATTCTGCATCAATTCAAGTGGACTCTACTCCTCTGATACAATCTTTTGATTTTGCGCAACCATGGTGGAGGTGGATTGGCCAGAGACAGCAGTGCCCTTGTTCTTGCCGCAAGAATGGCAAAGCCCCAAAAACCGACCGTCCGTCCCTGGTGATCCTCCCAAATGTGTCTACAAATACGATGAAAAAGAAAATCTCTTGAAATTGGTTTCCTTGGACGATCCAGAAGTGGTGATTGATATTCTCGATCCCGACGATGTGATCAATGTGGCGGTCGAAATCAACATGACCAACGACATGGATCCTCGAGTCACTACTACTAACACTACTACCGACGACAAGGAAGACACGGGTCGTCCATCCAATGCTCCTCCCACAGACACACTGTCCGATACAAAAGGTCACGCCGTATTGACAATTTATTCCTATCCGCGAGAAGACCCCAACAATCCACCCGACAAGGGATCCTCCATTTTACGGTGGTGTGGAATGGGGAAAATTAATCCCAAACCCCGCCCAACATATCAACGTCCGGGCGAACAAGAATGGGAAAAATGGGGACATCGCTATGCCTTTCATCGACGATTCACCGTGGTACCCAGTGAAGATGTGGGACCACTCAATCAACTCGTCAAGGCCATGCGACAAGCGGCACAGTTACTACAAGATCGAGGACGAGCCTTGGTCGTTGTCAACCCCTTTGCTGGCGGACAAAGAAAGGCGGAAGGATTGTATCACGATATTGTCAGTGTCGTTCTAGAACAAGCCAATGTGGAACACGATCTCGTCGTTACCAAATATGCACTTCATGCCAAGGAACGCATGATGAAAGGAGGTGGTAAAGATGATCAAGAAGATGATGGTCGAGATTTGGCAGAATATACGGCACTCATCCCCGTCGGTGGGGATGGAATTGTATTTGAGTGCCTGCAAGGAATCAAAGCACGCGACGATGCTCTCGAAATACTCCAAAAACTCAATGTTGGCATTATCGGTGCAGGAACGTCCAATGGAATGGCCAAGTCCATTGCCGTTACCAGTCATCAACAATCGTCCGTGTTGGATGCTTCCTTCCTCGTTGCCAAGGGATGTACACGACCCACGGATTTGAGCGAGTATTGGACTGCCAATCAGTCGTACTGGTCTTTTCTGACATTTTCATGGGCCATGATGGCCAGTATTGATATCGATTCCGAGTGTCTCCGAGCCTTGGGAACTTTCCGGTTTGATCTGTGGGGAGCATGGTGTGTCGTGGGAATGAAATCATACAAAGCCAAGTTTAGTTATTTGCCTCCCGACAAGGATGACAACAAATCCGATCCCACGTTGCCGGCAATGACTGAGGAACTACCAGCTTCCAAATGGGTCACTGAAGAAGATGACTTTTTGTTACTGTGGACGTCGCATGTCGCATATGGCGGAGAGAAAGTGTATCACTGTCCTCCCAGTCGATTGGATGACGAAGTCTTTCATATCTTGGTGATCAGGTGCGTACCGTTTGCTAGTTTGATGTTGCTCTCGGTGAAAACTAAATCTCATCGATGCTTTCTGTTTGCAGAAAAAAGAACACGTCCCGTCTTGCCATGGCCCAAATGTTGATTGGAATTGAAGACGGCTCACACGTCAAGTTCCCTCAGGCTGAATTCATCCCGTGCACTGCATTTAGGCTGGAGCCTGCAACACCTTCCATCAACGATATCGATGGGGAAGTCGTTGAATCGGGACCGGTGCAAGCCAAAGTCATGCCGGGTGCCATGAAAGTTTTCTGCAAGTAGAGTTGAAAGACATCCGTATTTTTAAAAAAAGAGAACTAATCTAGGTGCGATCATATAGATTTATTGCTGAAATGGTAGACGATGTTGCTGTGAGCGGGCGCCAAGAGGGCTGGACTACACATACGACTGAACTGTTGCCTCGAGTTGGTCTTCGCTCAATGTGCGCGAGGTACTAATATACTGTGTTAGGACTTGAATTGCGAACCCACCATCTCGTAAGGCACTGTATTTTGATTGTTTGCGCTTGGTTTCTCTTATTAAGGTGCTTTCAGAAACCACAAGTGAGATTTCGATTTGGTCACTAAGGGGTTATCGGAGGACTACTAGTACGGAGTGCAGAAGAGGGGAAATCCGGGGCATCATCGAAGGGGGTGGTGCGAGTGAGAGAACCAAGGACGGAGCAGGCCAGAAGGCCTGGGCACCATCATCCCAATGCCGGGAGCTCAATGTAGACTAGTACTGGTACCGGTAGCAGGAATAGGGGAACCACGGAGAGCACATCGTGCGCAGCTGCTCGAGCAATGATCATATTGCGTCACGTACGTCTACTACAATGTAGACTAACTGGTTTGCATGCGTTGGAGTGGGGTCTGTGATTCGGTTAGTGTGGAAGTGACTCTGCAATCACCCAGTCCAGAGCTGCGCAGTTATGCTAGCTCTTTCATCACCAGGTAATGTCTGCTGGTAACACTGCAAAATGTGATGATTGCTTGCTGCCTGGTGGTGGATTGATTCTCCACTCCCATTAAAATAGACATGGTAGAGTCTACCGTAGCTAGCTAGCTCTTGCTAAATGTATTAGTACGCGTTGTGCTATCGGCACTGTGCTCTTGGATGAGATGTGATCCATAGTTTGTGCCACGCGTGCGGTGCTGTGACTCACATCGTGACACAAGCTTCTATGCAGTCTTGATTTTGTTCACTAACTCGTACAGCGTACCGTCGTACCGTACCGTACCAGCTACCGTACGGTAAAGGTATCTAGCTACCGGTATGATACAGTAGTACTGAGTATTGTCATACTCGCTAGCTAGCTAGTACGTGGTACGACTAGATACCGGTACGGTACAGGTGGAGTCGAGTCACTGATGGGTAAAACCTCTGATAGCATAGAAGCTTGAATGTTTACCTTCTATTTTAAGATAATTTTTATGACCTTTCACGCCCAGGGACCACAAGTAATCATGGCGCTGGCCATACCGGTATCTCTTTCCAGATGCAGATTCAACGATCAACGATCATAATCAGTTTTAGACATTGCATTCTTCAATCCAAGGGATCCATTTGGCACGGTGTCTGTGTCAAATGGGCAAATCGGAACCCACACAAGAGTCTCGACCTGTAAGATTACTCAGAGTGCCACTCACTAGTCAGCAAGTACTCGAGTAAGAAGTGTGCACTGGTATGGTGGCCATACAAAGCTACAAAGGTGTAGACTAGCTACTAGCTAGCTAGTAGTAGGTACTCTGAAGTAGCGTGGAGAAGCCAAGACCTTGAGCTGTGAGGGTGGGAGGGGAAGTAGTTCTTGCGAACCTTTTTATTAAATCCTACCAAGATTGAAGTTCTACCGCCTTTGACAGTGAACAGTGAGGTTACGTTCGTCCGGTGCTGTGCAGGTTATCTAAATAAATGTGACCTGTAATGTTTACCAATAAAACGCCAAGCCGCCTGGTCACCAGTCACCAGGCCGCCAGGACTGAAAACCACGGCACGAAAAATTTTACTGTACGGGCTGATTTCATCTGATCATCCCCTACGGTATGGCCTTCGTCCTATGGACTCAAAAGGCATCGTTGCTTGCTGGGATTTCAGAGCTGCGCCTCTCTATCTATAGCCATACCGGTAGCTGGACACACGCAGCTATGCACAGAACTCTGCAACTTGTGCGAACTATGCAGAAGGCAGGAAGGCAGTAAAATAATGGGAGCGGTGGCTGAATCGAATCGAGAAGGACAACTTCCACAGCGCATGCTCATCCTGGAAACAGAAATCATGTGGAGAAGTTCTACTAGCTAGACTCTACTAGTATTTTAACTGGCTACTACATGTAGCTGGTCTGGCCGCAATCCGATGATGGCTACCGGGACTGACCAGATTAAACAGGTCTATGTAGGTAGCTTAGGTAAATAAATCGTTCTGGTACGCAGAAATCAAATAAGTTTATCACATCAGTTTTACCGTTGCTACCTAAACTTGAAAGCAGCTTCCAACTCCGTAGAAATGCACAGCGAGCTCGCATGTTTGGAACCAGCCTGTACAATTGCACATTTGCACAGCAACGTGAACACAGAAGCTAACACTTTCGTAATTCAACAAAATTAAAAAAGGAGTAAGGGAACTGTGTATGGTAAGGTATACATGTAACTCTCTCAAAGAAACGGCCCTTTCAAACCGCCGCATCTTTTACCAGTGGACACGGAAAGATACAGTTTTGGTACGTACCTGGGGACGGTGAAGCCTGACCATGACCAAGCCAGGAAGTATCTTTGCCCACCTACCGGTACTACTAGGTCTAGCTAGCTAGCCAGAAGATCCTACAACCTTTGATTTGACTTTGGCTCACCTCTCAGCCATAAAATCAATTGATCCAAAAATTGAACCAGACAAACCAAGGAAACAGATAAAATGCTCGTTTTCATTGCCACCTCCATGGCCTCAACAACTGTGCCCTTCTTCTTCCGCCTTGCCTTCAAGGTGCTCGCCCTCCTTGCCTCCACGGTGCCGTTCTTCCTTCGTGTTGCATTTTTCTTTTCTTTTATCGCCCTTTTGGTGGCATTGGCTCTGCAGCAACTCTCTCGCCGGTGGCTCAAAAAAGAAGTTCCTTGCAAATCAACCAAATATCTCCGCAAATGGTCCAAGCAGGAAGAACAAGATGCCGCTGATGATATCCGTCGCATTGGTAGCCGCGAGGGAAGTCATTTGAAGGATTTGTTCCAAAATTACTACACTCAGGACCACCAAAAACCAATGAACATTCTCTTGACTGGGGTAACTGGATATGTCGGTCGCTCACTTCTTTGGGAGCTCTTGAGTCAACTGGAGGCTCTCCAGTGTGACAAGATGGCGGCCAATGACATTCCCAAAGTGTTCTTGACCGTCCGTTCCAAACGGGGTGTCTCTTTGGATAGTAGGGTTCAAAAACTGCGCAAAGATCCAATCTTTCAGCATTTGCAAACGGCATGGGATCGTCACTGCGTCACTGTGAGCGTTGGAGACATGAGGAACGAAAACTTTGGAATGGATGCTGGAACAATCCGCAATCTAGAGAAAAGCAACATCACTCACATTATCCACTCAGCTGCAGATGTTCGTTTCACACCTCCTTTTGATGAAATTGCAGCCAGCAACATTACAGTCTCGCTCCAATTGCAACAGTTTGCCCGTCAATGGGACTCTTGCAGGGGGATGATTTATCTTTCTACTGCCTTTGTCCATCCTGGACAAGGGAGCTCTGACAATCCTCATCCAGATTCTTTGGTGGACTTTAAGCGGTATGACCCGCTCGAATTGTACCATTCCATGCTCGGCGAAGACAATGCCATTTTGGCCAAGCAAGTGAAGGAGGAATTGGGATTTGAGAACAATTATACATTCGCGAAAGCGATTTGTGAGCATTTGCTCCTTCGAGACCCTGACACCCCCACCAAGATTTTGCGTCCATGCATCGTGGGACCATCGGCTGTCTTGCCCTTTCCCGGTTGGAATGGTGCTTCACCTTCTACCGTCACGGGCTTTATGCTACTTATTCGTGTAGGATTGGCCAATCTCTTTCGAATTGCAACCAAAGACAACCGGCTGCCAGTCATCCCTGTGGATGTGGTATCAGTGGCAGTGCTTCATGCCATGATCTCGTTGGGAGAGGAAAACAGGAAGACCAAAAAGGAAGCACTGGAAGAGAGCCCGAAGAACATTGCGAATCTGGTCTGGTTTGTTGAAGTGACACCGAGCGTATTCCGTTGGTGGAGCCTATCACAGAGATTCTCGACCTGGCGGTCTGCCTTGACAGTGCTGCTTCTCCAGGTAATTGACGAACACCCTTCGACCGAAAAAAGCCTCATTTGGGCGTTCAACGTTTTACCACTTCAGCTGTGGCAGCTGAGTCGAAAGTTGCAGACTCCTTTTCAAACGAAACGGCCACCGTCTCAGGAAAGCAAAATGACACCTGAAAAATGTCTCAAGTTGTTGGATTTGACCAATGACTATTCCTTCTTTATGGCAAGTAAATTCCACTTCCAATCCTCCGTCACCATGCCTGCATGGTTGACCAGCAGAAGCTACTCGATTCGTTCCCTCCTGAGAGCTACTGAAAACTTTACTCCTGAATTCGCAAGAACGGTCCCAAAAAGCCTGGAAAGCAGTACTACAGAAATGTTCAACTATGTCAATCTGGTGCCTAAACATCGATCGGATTTGTGGTGGGCTTTGACACAACCCAACGGCAACCTGACCACCCGTATCATTGGATTCCTGGTTTCCAAAGTCTTGCGCAGAGCTTGCGGTCGAGTCCTGGTTGATTTAAGTTCTATGGCAGCGTTGGCAGAAGAACTGGAACGGGATCCAGACGCGCCACTTTGCTTGGCCGCTACACACAGGTCCTTTCTGGATTTCATTCTGTTGAGCTATGTGGCCTTCTCTATGCCAGAGTTTGGCTTAAAAATCCCAAAGATTGCAGCCAGTTTCCAGTTCTCCTCATTGTTCTTCTCTGCCTTTCTGCAAGGGGCGGGGGCCTTTTACTTGCAGCCAGGAGGGAAGCTGAACAATGCCGGTCTATTCAAGAGATTGGCTGACTTTTTGAACAGCAAGGAGCATCTGCTGGTCTTCTTGGAAGGCACCAGAAGCCGCGATCGCCGCTTCCTGGAACCAAAGCGCGGCTTTTTGCATGCTCTTCGACAAGCTGCAACCGAAAATGGGCACACAGATCCTCTGGTAGCTCCAGTGGTTGTAGATTATGAGAGAATTCCTGAGCAAGCCACTTTCGAGAACGAGATGACAAGTTGTGGAAAGAAGGCAGCGCTATCCTCAAATGGTTTGGTCACGTGGCTCCAAAAGCTCATCTCAAAAGAGGTACAGCTGGGTGATATCCGAATCACTTTTGCGGAGCCTTGCCGTCTATCAGAGAAGGACGACGTGGCTTCATTCGCTTTGGAGCTTCAGGCGAGACAAAAAGCTGCGACCTCTGTTACTACTTTCCATCTGCGTGCTGCCAAGATGCACCTAGGGACAATTCGGGTGGAAACTCTTCAACGAGCCATTGTTGACTTGGGCGGCCGCATCACAGAGCAGTCAACATCACTCGATCTAATCTCTGAGCTCTCGTCGTCAGAGTGTTGGAGCCTTCATATGCAATGGTTGGTTCACTTTGCTCCGTTACTGCATTGTAAAGGGTACGAAAAGTGGGCTGAGTGGATTGCCCCCGGAAGCAATAGAACCCTGACAAATCAAGACATCAGCTCTGACCCGGTGCTGGTGGTGCTATCTGAGATCCAGAAGTTGCTGGACAGTGCTTCAGCTCTTGGAATGCAAGCGAAATCACTGTTGGAAGAGAGTGGAATCCCTGAACCGACAGTTCCTCATCTCGCATCGACGATTGCAACGTTGGATGTTGATGGATGTTTGAAGGGAACGACCCTTGCTTGGGCCGCTGCTCAAATTCAAACAGTGGGAGCCAGAAAGGCGCTGCCGGGGCGAAGCACAACTGATGAAGTTTCGTCCAAGGCTACTTTGGCAGCAGTTGTTCCTCGCTTCAAAAATATCGGGAAAGCTTCGGACACGGAATCCCTCGGTCGGTGGGGTTTCGAAGACTCAGGTTTCAAGCTCGTCAATAGTCGACTCGGAAGCGGGAAGCGTGTTTGCTTTCAAGGCTCGAGGTACCGTATCAGTGGTCGTACATTCCCGACCCTGCTTGAGCTGTTCGAGAAGATTACCAAAACGCTCATCTCTGGTGGACCCGACCATGCACCAAAAGCTGTTCAAAAGCTGTCCCTTCCCGACGAAGTTTCAACCGAACTCTTGGATCTTCTGAAAGAGAATGGCTTCACAAGCGACCAGTTATCAACCGACGTCGATATCAGATGCCGTCACGCCACGGGCCATTGCCTAGAAGATGTGTTCCGCATCCAGACTGGTGAGATAGGGCGATGTCCTGACATTGTTATTTGGCCGCTGACCGAACAAAATTGTTTCGAGCTCGTGGAGCTCGCTCGTACCTTTCAGTGGTGCCTGATTCCGTATGGTGGTAAGCGAGTGTTGGTATACGTGTGATAACCCTCCGCTGCATGGTGCCAATCCTAATGATTTGGTTTTTCTCAACTCCGCAGGAGGGACGAATGTGACGAAGGCTCTCTCGTGCCCCCCAAAGCATGTTGATCCACGTCCTATGGTGTCAGTCGATATGCGGCGCATGAAAAAGATTCTCTGGATCAATCGAGAGGATGGTCTGGCAGAAATTGAAGCTGGAATTGTTGGCAGGGATCTGGTCGAGGAACTGAAAAAAGAAGGCCTGACGATGGGCCATGAACCTGATTCTATTGAATTCTCAACCCTCGGTAGGTGGATGGACCGTGCTCTGTTCGCCAACTGTGATGCGTCCGTCTGTCTAATCTCTTTCCCGTATCTACATATAGGTGGTTGGGTGGCTACTCGTGCTTCGGGAATGAAAAAGAATCGATATGGAAACATTGAAGACATAGTGCGAGAGGTCCGGCTTGTCAGTCCTTCTGGTGTCCTGTCTCAAAACCACCACCAAAGTGGACGAGCCCATGAGGGTACCGCGTTCGGGAGAACGAGCATTGGAACAGAATTGAAGGACCTTGCAATAGGTTCGGAAGGCAACCTTGGCATCATCAGCAGCGTTGTAGTCCGTGTGCATAAGCTTCCAAAAGAGACTCAATACGCTTCCATTTTGTTCCCCTGTTTCGAGATGGGAGCAAAGTTTATGCGCGATGTTGCTCGTTTGTCTCCTGCTTTGCGTCCTGCCTCTATTAGATTGGCTGACAATCTACAGTTCTCTCTGGCTCGAGAGATTTCCGCAGGAGCTAACGACAAATCAATGATCATGAAGACTTTGCAAAGATTGTATGTGGGTTCATGGCTTCGGTGGAAGCCTGAGTCCATTTGTGCTTGCAGCATTCTGTGCGAGGGCGATAACGAAGAGGTCGCGTTTCAACTGAAACAGCTGAGAAAGATTCTTGGGAAGTACGAAGGTATCGAAATGGGGGCGTCCAACGGAGCTTCTGGTTACGAGATGACCTTTGCCATCGCTTACATCAGAGATTTTGCTTTGAGCCAAGGGATTTACGGAGAGTCCTTCGAAACATTCGTTCCTTGGTCTCGTTGCCAGGCTCTCTGTGATGGTGTCAAGCGGGACGTTCAAGCGGCTCATGAACGCCGGTTCCTGCCTGGCAAACCTGTCATCTCCTGCCGAATTACACAACTCTACGAAGAGGGTGCCTGTGTCTACTTTTACATGGCAATATCTGGTCAGGGCTTGTCGAACCCCTGTGACACGTTCGCAGCGATGGAACACGAAGCAAGAGAAAGCTGCATGAGACATGGGGGCTCACTAAGTCATCATCATGGGGTAGGCAAGGTCAGATCATGCTTTCTTCCAAAGGTCAACAGCCCCGCTTTGAACTCTTGGCTTCGAGATATCAAAGACGGCATTGACAAACAGAACATCTTTGGCGCCAGAAATGGCGCCCTCTCCCCTGATGCTATCGGCGTTGACCTTTGCCAAAAGGGCGGATCTTGCGAGTATGCAACTGATGGGGACGTCACTCCAAGCGATGTTACCGTGGTTTCTAGCCAGACCAGTCGGAGCAGCCAAAGCAGCGGCAGCCCATACTTTGAAACAGAGAGCTTTTCCTCCTTGGGTGACACCGACGACGAGGACGAAGCGGAGCAAAGTATCGACTCTCTCCAAGCTCAGTTCGAAGAAGCTTCCGAAACAGCCAGATCGAAGCTTGGCAGCAACATTTCGAATCAGGATAAGTTGCAGCTCTATGGTCTTTTCAAGCAAGCGAAGCATGGTGATGCCGACCCCACAAATCGCCCGTCTTACTTGTGGGCAGTCGAACGAGCCAAGTTTGACGCTTGGTCAAGCCTAAGAGGAACGACAAAAGAATCTGCCATGAAAGAGTACTCTGCCGTGGTGCGGAACTTGTGGCTTGCATCCCAGTAGGCGCCGTAGCGCAAACTGACATCATTACGTAGACCCATACAAAATTAGTGAATTCATTTAAATCTTGACGGGCTGCTTAACTTTCTCCTAGTTCGCACTTCATGCGAACTTCCCCGCGTGCAAGCCCATTCCAACTTTCTAATGAGCTGTTGCCTCAAGCTCAGGAGCATTTCTTTACCACGGTGCCAACAAGGAGGAGCGACAGAAGAGGTACTGAAATGCTGATTGGATGGGTTCGACATTCGCTGGACTTCAAACCTTGTGACCACCGATGGAAGATTCAAAAAGCGGGGGAGCGAGATGCATCATCATTTGCAGACGTCGCTGCTGTCGTGGGGTTGTATGGAATGAAGGAGGAGGGCAAGCAGCCCTTGATGTTGGTAAAATTCGTCAATGATTAGTCCTCTTGAGTGAAGATAATGACGCTCATCACTGGTATCCATCTCAGATAGAAATGGAAAAAGTCAGAGTATCCAAAACACACCCCATGCAACCAGAATTGAATGAATAACATAAAAGAAATGTGATTCCAGACAGTAGACTTTGCTGATTGTTTCTGTTCCGTTGTTTCTTTTGTTGCCTGAAACCAGTGGTAGGCTGAAAGTAAAGTTCCGTAAAGAAGGGACAACACCTGAAAAGCCCATGCAGCTCCATAGGAATACCAATCATCCTTTAGCAACACAATGTCCCCTTCACTGACCCAAGCATAGAATAAGATCATTGTTGCCAAGATTGCTGCTTCATCAATGGAGAAAAACTTAGTGCCGAGAGCCAAGGTTCCACTGAAATGGGCTACCACATGAGGTGCCAGCCAAAGACAATAGTAACCGTGTAATCCCTGCCAATAGACATCATCAGCAGGCGTTTTGCCAAAAGCAAAGCGAACCACGCTGATGTACGCTAACAGACAAAAGAAAGTCAAGGCAAAAGTGTGGGAATGAAGCAACGGTGATTGATCCAGCTTTGTTTCAACCTAACAAAAGCCTACCTGCAATATTGCCCATGGCTCCATCGACCCAATGATCCAGAATTCCTCCAAATTTGCTTGTTTTCCCAGTGCGACGGGCATGTTTGCCATCCATGTTATCACACATATGGTACATTGTAAAAAACAGGCAAGCCCAGCCCAATTGGCTGTGGAGGACACAGTATGAAGAGAGAATGGCATAGTATCCACCGATCAGGGTTATGGCGTTGGGATGGACCCAATCAGGCCAGATCAATGGAGACAGCCAGTCATAGAATGGGCTGAGCACATAGTCATAGAAGTATGATGTTGTCATGGTTGGTAAAGTTGTGACAAGAGCCTTCCGAGGACACAATCACCGCCAGATTCGATTAATCATCCATTCATCCGCCACTCCCTTACCGGTAAGCTCCATTGTGCTGATGCTGTTTTCCTCAGCTGCTCAGCGCGCAGCTACCGGCTAGCTATCCGGTGGTACCAGATACTAGTACCGGTACCGCACATCAGTACGGCACGTATTGGCTCAACGTGGCGTGGCAGCAGATTGGCACTTGGTTTCTGAATCAAACAGCAAAGCTGCTTTTGTCGACAACCCCATTGCAGCTCTCTCATCAGATACCGGTACCAATACCGTGGCCGTAGACACAGGAAAGGTCGGCAAGACCAGGGTCACCTAATCAGGATTCTCTCCTTCAGTTCCAGGTTTGCTTCGTACCCCCTCGCCCAACGTGGAGTAGTTCGTCTCCTCGTAGGTCGTCGCTGATAGGGCTACGATTGCAAAAACAACGGAGCTCATGACCTCTGCTGTAACCTTTTTTTAATTTTAATAATTTGCCTCTTTATATGCAATGCCATGCACTTCAAATCTCACTCAGAGGACGTGCCAATTGTTTACCCCGTGAGTGAAGACTCAAACAGCTCATCCTGCTGTTGTGATGTCTCGCAAGAATTGTTGCTGTCTTTGACTTCACAGTGATGACAAAGAATGCTGCCAAACATTCAGTGGGGGAATATTCATCCATCTTTAGTCGTCCTCCGTAAAAAGAACAGTGCTCATCACTGGCACCCAGCTCAAGTAGAAATGGAAAAAGTCAGAGGAAGGATAAAGGATCCCATGCAACCAGAATTGCATGAACAGCATCAATGAAAAATGATTCCAGACTGTTACAGTCTTTGCTGATTCTTGCTTTTCTGTTGTCTGCCTTGACTTCAGCCAGTGGTGAGCAGACAGTATGGTCCCATAGAAAATGGACAACACCTGAGTAACCAATAAAGACTTCTCCAAATACCACTTGTCCTTCAGCAACACAATGTCACCTTCACTGACCCAAGCATAAAATAGTAAAAGCGAAGTCGTGACAAAGGCTTCATCAATGGAGAAAAACTTAGTGCCCAGAGCCAAGGTTCCGCTGAAGTGTCCAACCACATGAGGAGCCAACCAGAGACATTCGTAGCAATGGATGGCCTGCCAGTAAGCTTTATCATCTGGTGTAATGCCAAAACAAAAGGAAGCGATGGTGCTGAACCCTGCAATATTGCCCATGGCTCCATCGACCCAATGATCCAGAATTCCTCCAAATTTGCTTGTTTTCCCAGTGCGACGGGCATGTTTGCCATCCATGTTATCACACATATGGTACATTGTAAAAAACAGGCAAGCCCAGCCCAACTGTCCACTTTGGATAAAGTAGGAAGCAGCAACAGCAAAAATGCCACCAATAAGGGTTATGGCGTTGGGATGGACCCAATCAGGCCAGACCAATGGTGACAGCCAGTCATAGAATGGGCTAAGCACGTAGTCGTAGAAGTATGATGTTGTTGTCATGGTTTCTTCAAAATGAAAAAGCTCTTCAGTATGGTGGGCGCATTGTGTGAATTGGAAGCTTCTCCACAGACCAGTGCGGCAGTGCGGAAGTTGCCTAGCTGCAGCAACACCAAAGGGTGGTGTTGCCTTGTTCGAATGCTGGGGTTGGAATGCACGAGGCAGGAGAACTGTGGCGTGGTGCGTCGACTCGACTCTGTCAAGTACCTGGTAGCACCCTCACTTTTTGCTGCATTGATAAAGTCTCCGTGCTGCAATCATGCGACATGGTTGCTAGGTCGACACTTGCGTGACTTCCTTGCTGTCCGTGTACATGTACCGGTACCGGTACCAGTACTGTACTGGTAGGTGTGGCCGGATGCAGGAGCGAATAAATCAAAACACAGCAAAGCTGTGTAACCGACCCAGTCTCCCTCTCACAACATTGGCTATTTAGTCTGCTCAGTTTGCAGGTGCTCAATGCAATCGTAGTAAGCGACGCAATAGCATTTGTCAAGAGCGCTCATCCACGTAACGCTTTTATATAGAACATTCAAGAGCACCGTTGCGACAGCTAGTAGCCAGCTACTTCTAGCAAGCTTGTTGCAGGTATCAGTGCCAATCACGGTCCATCCCACCTAAAGAAATCAGCCCAAAACTGCCATGGATGTAACATGAAGGCCACAGAATCTTCTTCTTGCTTCATTTTAGTTCAGCTGCTTCTGATGTTCATTTGTCTCCTCCTTCAACCCTTGCCTCTAGCTAGCTAGGTACAGTACTCACGAGTAGCAGCTCGAATAGAAGAGCTGCTACCGGTTCCGGTACATGTAGTCTAGTAGCTAGAAGAACAAACCAATGAATGAATGATGAATCGAATCGAATAAATGGAATCCAAAATGTGCGGCCAAGCCCCACTAGTAGGGACGTTGATTTTGTGGCCCGTAAATTACCGTTGCTTGTGTTGAGGCCGGCTTGGATCGAACCGTTCACCACCATTTGCCACTATGACTTCGCACATGGGTCTTTTAATTGAACCGATCCCCTGAAGTATGGCCTAAAACCCCCTTTCCCTAGTTGTGAAATGTCCTTTGCAAGGGGATGGGCAAATCTTGCAATAGCCCTGTATTGTAATGGATGTGACTCGCTAAAATCAGTTAAAAAGACGAAATTCGTATTTTTGTCGGAAGATAAATTTAATTGGATTAGATTAGATTAGATTGCATTGCATTGAATTGGATTGAATTGGATTCCAATTAGTACTGTTATTTATATAGTGAACTGTAATTCAATGCAATCCAATCTAATCCAATGCAATCCAATCAAATCCAATAGAGAAAAACAGCCAAAGTAAAAGATTGGCTTAGCGCACACAATTTTTACAAAAACGCTCTAACAAATTCAACACAGAGCCATGGGCAAGTTTGCTCATCCCCCAAGTGAATTCACGTATCTCTGGTACTTACCGAACGCACGAAGCCGAAGAACTTTTTCAGAATCCGTGACTCAAGAATCCCTTTCTGGATGGGAAGGACGAGGTAAACCTTTGAAAACATTACCTAGAATGATTACACTAAATCCCTCTCTAAGAAGACAGAGGGAGTGCACGTAGACCATCTTCTCCAAAACTGGTCCGACAAAATTCCTACCGTACCTTTACATGTACAAGACTGCCGTGCAACGCTTCCGCATCATTCTTCTCATCCAATCCACATCGTTGTGCTGCCAGCATCATCATTACATCATTACGCACCACCCTTTGAGCAGGGTAGCAGAGTTGAACCGAGGGAGCTGCCCATCAACGATCATCCATCACGGCAATCTCTGGTGGTGGTAGCCGTCAAGATCCCAATATACTGACCATGAAAACTCTGTTGGTAAGTTAAAATAATGGCAGGGGTATCTCAACTGATCATTATCTTGTGGCATTGCTCTGCTCATCAATTGATGGTCCACTAACAAAGATGCACCTTTCCGGCTTGAACAGAGATTTCGGAACCGAAAGCAAAGGAGGTATAGTACGGGAGACTTTTCTACTAGACAACATCAACTACTACACTGTCATGAAGACCTGACCAAGGCGCTGGAGCTGGAAGATGTTGTCAAGCCATCGGTGATTGGGTTGGTGTTGGGTGGGGGCAGTTTCGATGGCACTACCATTTCATCACTCTTTCATCGACGTAGCAGCGCGAGTGCTGCCTCCACATGTACCAGTAACAGCTCCACTGCCATCGGTACCAGCCGAGCAGCACGACAATTCTTAAGACACTCCAGCAGTTTTCTCCGGGTGGCTGATCTCGGTCTAGCGGATGATACTGTAAGTCTGGATAGTGGACATACTGCCATTAGTTCCTCTGTCACGGACAGTCCCCAAAAACTAAACGACAACGACAATAACCACCAAACGGCGGCTGATGCCACTGATCATGCCAACTTTGCCTACCCACACGCCAATCCTCCTCCTGGGGTAGACCATGACCCACGAGAACGGTGGGTAGCACTGGACGATGGCTCGGGGTCTCATGCCCCCATTGCGCCACTCGCCGTACAGGCGTTGGTCAAGGCCGGATTGGATGCGGCCTTGGATCAAAGCATGTGGACGCAACACACATCCAGCCGGTATTTCAAGGCAGCTCCATGGCATGTCTTTACATGGCCCACAGAAGGACAACCCGCCACCATCCCCAACGACGAAGTTCCTGCACCCGGGGATAAGATCGAAGATATTGTCCTGCTGTGGATGGGAAAGTTCCAACATGGGCTCTATGGGAGCGATCTGCCAGCCGTACGAGCCGTGGGGATTATCCCAGCAGCACCGAAGGTGCTATACGACATGCTGATTGATTCCGATCGCGTCAAGGAATACAACAAGCTGAGTCTGGGACGAGAAGACTTGCTGGTCCTACAAAATGGTGGAGAAGAGAATGGACCATTTGGCAAATCCGCCGTGACCAAGGTCATGCGCAGCAAGTCCAGTCCACCCCTTGTACGACAAACCATGCAATTCGTCAGCATGTTACATGCCCAAGAACTGCAAGACAAGAGCGGGTACTTGATCGTCACACGGGCCGTGACGCACCCCGACGATGATCGCAGCGATACCAGTGTGCTACGCAGCGAAATCTTGCTGGGCGTCAATATCATTCGACGCATTGACGGCGATCCCCATCGATGTGTCATGGTCAACATGATCCACATGCGATCGCCCATGGTGCCCATGATTATTGCCAATCGCATCGGGGCATCCGCCGCCGCCAACTTTATCCGTGATTTGAGAAATGCCTGTTGTTAATACAATACGGCACAGGCAAGATATACATCTACACTCAATGTGCAAGAGGCGCTATCGAATAGAGAATGTACACCTTACAAATAAACACGTGGAAGTGCAAGGAAGGAGGCACCAGTCAACACCTGGATGATGTGTCCACTTGCCATTTACTGGTTAGAGAGGAAGGAAACACTACAGGACAGTCGCCTTGGGTGATTTTGAACATTGGCACCCAAGAAGCAGCCAGAGCTGCGTTTTAGAAAGAGTTGAACCAAAGACAGTCCGAGTTGTCCTGTAGCGCAACTTTTTGGAGAGCTGTCTATAGAGGTGGAGGATTGTTATTCTGCATAAAACTATAGCTAAATTCTTTGTTTAACTGCATGATTTGCCAGGGGCTACTCACGCACACTACTACGGAAGGCTATTAATAGCTAACTACGGTACCAGGTACTAGCATGGTGGCTGCACCACAACGACGCTTTGAGACTTGAGACGGGTGCCTTGCAGCGCCCCGCGGATAAATATCCGATCCGCAGACTTATCCGAGGTTCGCTGATTGACATCCGCTGACTGTTGACGATGTCCGCAGCTGATATCCGCGCCGTAAAGTAGGCACCATGGCCATCAGAGGATGCTCCAGTGGCACCAAATAGCAACAACAGTGACAGCAGACAGTGGGGTGATAATAGCAGTCGGTTATAGTAGCTGATTGTTATGGTTTTCATGCATAGATTGTTGTTCTTTGTGGTTTTCGAGCGGACGTCTCGGTTGCGACTGGATAACAGGAGATCGCAATAGTCCGGAGCTCTGGAGCAGTCAATGGCCCTTCTTCCGCCACATCGTTAACTAATAGCCCTTCTTCCGACAATCCTCTCGATGGAGTTGGAGGCATGACTTGTTGTTGCTGATCAGCTTTCTCCGCGCAATAATCGGTCGCACCTTGTTACAGACAGGAACGCCATAGTAAGTGTTGTTGCCATACCCTCTCTCTGTGCTTTTGCAAACCTTGTTTTGACACTCATTCCGTGTGTCATTGCCACAAACAATACAACGGCGCTTTGTTCCTTGACCGCTATTGTCTTTCACTCTCTGCACCACCGCTTCATGAACAAGGTCTTCATTGTTGGCAATGAAGAAACTGCTTCTTATTGATGCCATCGACAGTGGCGAAGGATCGATGCTTCCGCAGCATCGAATCGACATATGTTCCACGCCTCCGGCAAGTCTCTCCATTCCTCCTAACATTGCGCTTGGGAATCCTGCGGCTCGAGAAAGAGAGGGAACCGATAGGTCCGCTTGTGATTCCGCGTCATGAATACCATCGGCAACAATGTCTCCTTGAGCTGTTGTGGCTGCTCCACTGTTGAATGGGTTGTGGAAGCAATCGTAGGCAAGCCGATCAGCGAACTCCTCAACTGTCATCTTACCAAATTGAGCTGGAAGTCGATACCTGAGCGCTTTCATACAGTCAATGACAGTCACACCAATGATGGTGGTAATGTTTCGAAACCAAGGATTCTGAGTGCCCCAGTGGTTCTCCAGCCCAAGAAGGTCTTGTCGAGCTTGGTTGTGGGCATCAATGAGATTCGAAGCGCCGAAATAGGTGGACAATACATGTGGTCGACTGACGGGCCTCTCCTTTACATTTCCATACGGATCCGGAAAGCGAGCAATATAGGACTTCCCTTCCATTGTTGAGCCCGCATCCTTTGTCATTACAAAGCAGAGTACTTTCTTTGCATTGTACTTGTAGCCGATGGCACAAAGCTGCACTCCTGATCCCTGAAGAGTGGTTTCCATAACAAGATGGGATCCGGCAGGCCAATCCTTCATCTTTGTTTCGATGGCCTTCTTGGGAAACCATCCACTGGCTGTCTTGACTGCTGCCACCAGCTCATGGCCTTTGTTGGGATCTGCTGTTGTGTCGATAAAGTGGTCTTTGAATGAGTCAAATTCTTCGAAATGAGTATCGGAATCAGGCGTTGGATTGGCTGCAGTCTTGCGTCGCAATAATTTCATTGCTTCAGCGCAACGGACTGATCCAAACCATGAGTCGGCAATGATGAGGTGCCGTCGCTCAGCCTTCTGCAGCTGCTTTCTCTCCCTTGTAGCAATGCCGGTGTGCGTGCCTCCAATGGTAAGTCGAAGTGTGCAAGCAGCTGTGGCGCCGACCTTGGATTGAAACGGCTTCTTCCTCATGGGCTTTGCTCCACGTTGAATTTCCATATACGTGATGATTCCGGTTGCAGTATCTGCGGCACACTTGTACTCCGTCCCAAGTGGCTTGGGCTTGCGGAAGATGAAAGAGAGGAACGGTAAGAGGGATGACTTGGTAGATCGAGGTCTGAAAGGGCTCATCAACTCATCCAGCACCAATTGAAATTGGCCAACAACCCATTGTTTCCGATTGTCGTTGAAATCTTCCACCAGCTGAGCAACAGGATGCCATGGATCTTCAGCTTCCATGCCATCGTGGAAGGCTAAATGAAGTCGCTCTTTGATCGTCTTGAATCGATCGAACGAAATGAATTTCTTTCCGGCTTCTCCCGTCGCTTGATCGAACATGTCTTTGTCGACGGCGATGTTGATAACTGGAGCCAGTCGACCTTTCTCCCATTTCGATTGGAACAGCTTGTTCCCTCCTTTGTGACAAGGGCAAGCCACAAATATGATTCCCATAACAATCCACCACTCTCGCTCGGATACTAGTCCAATGGTCTTCTTCTTGGCATTTCGAACGTTGGGATTCTCATGGAGGCGTATGTTGCCTTCTTCAATTGCTCGATTCAAGTTCTGCAGGTGAGCTCTCCAATCACCTGGCCAAAGATGGATCAACAAAAGCAAGAACGGATAGCTGTAAGTTGCTTTGTCTGGGTCTGCGTTCTCTTGGAATGCCTCCTGGAATTTGAATCCAGCCACTCCTGCTGTCCGAGCTCGCTCCACCGGATGGTCTGGTGTGGACTCATTGATCGCCTTCCATTTCGCAATGCGTTTGTCCTTGACCAGCTGCAGTTTTTTGGATGAAATCCGCTTCTCAGGTTCTGTGGCATGTTGGAAAAGAATCGACCAAAATGGACCGGTGTCTTCTTCCTCACGGTCGTCTCCGACAACAATGCCAATCGTCTTCTGGCCTTTGCGTTCCATCACTCGCTCCCCCAATTGAATTGACTGCTTGCTTGGTAGCTTGCATTCAACAATCCATCCATCAGCGATCAAGACGTTCTTTTCGGTAAGGTATTGGTTCCACTTTCTTCGATGTTTCTCATCATTCGTCTCGATACCTCTTGCTGCCGCGAAATCTTTGGCATTGAAAGCAACTTGATCAGCTGCAACTTTCTCGGCCTCGGCCTGATCCTGCCCTTCGAAGATTGGAATGTCTTCCTGGAGCTCATCATCTGGATTTTGCTCGACGTCCTCATCCTCCTCATCGCTGCCATCTTCCACCTCCACTTGTTCCACCTCGGCGACAACTTCCTCGACGACAGCCTCCTCGGCGACAACCTCGACTGATTCATTGAGAGGCTCATTATCCAAATCCCGTGTCTGGGTGGTGGCTTGTTGTTGATCGTTGCTGTTGCTCTCATCCTCGCTTTCGCTCGTCTCAATGGATTGGTCTGGTGATGGAAACTCTCCATCAGTTGGATGACGGATCATTTGTGATGACACTTCCAAGAACATCTTCTTTGGTTTGCCTTTGGTGTCGACAAGCTCTACGTTCCATCGCGCCTTTCCAAGTGCTTGCCGAATGATTCCAGAAATAGCATCCTTCCGTGCGACGACCTGAGAGCCCGTGCCAAAGCGCTTCCTTTTTGATGCCGTTGTCATGGTGCTGTTGTTTTCGATTTCGAAGTTTCGAACTGAGAGTGTGGTTCAACTGGAAAGGCATCGACTCTGGTCCAGAGCCGCCCGACCCCCTAACGAGTAGGCCTATATAGCAGTTTTATACATTCATCAATAGAAAGAGATGCTTTCATGCTTGCCAATTCGTAGAGAGAGCCGTAAAGTATGGCTTCTTGAGAAAAAGGATTCCCAGGGAATGAGAGCTGTCGGTGGAGGGAGTGGCCCTCCGGGCTCGACACGTCATCATAAGACATTCTAATTGTACTAAAGTTACACACTACTTTAGTAGGAAACGTTTTCCGGCGTTATTTTTTGACGCCAACCACTCCCTCCTTCAGGCAAGATCGAAAAGGATAAAAGCAGAGGCACGCACTCGATTGACTGGAAGAGAACAACACAATCAGCACTGTAAAGAATAGACCAATCCGAAACAATGGAGCTCCACCCGTCGATCAATCCATCACAATGGAGCCTACTTCTTGCCACGACGACCAGGCTGCTTGCGGTGTTGTTTGCTAGTAATACTGCAGCTTATTGGGGAGTAATTTGGTTTTAGATTAAGCTGAAAAGCAAAAGTGAGGATTTTCTGGTGGTGCATAGCAATTCTTGTGATTGAATTGGATATAAGGACCCCCGTAACACTTTAGACCTAAAACTCCCTTGGTTCCTTGCATCATGAATTTGCATGCGAACCGGACTAGATGTTTAATACACGAGTCAATAGTAAAGAGGTGTCAGGTATATTTCCTCCAACACACTCCTGCACGGTGCCCTAAGTGGCTACCGTGGAACGAATAAATAATTTCATCTAAGAAGCGCATAATGGGGTCTCGCGAAAACAGCGAGGTCTGGAAGGTACCGAACGACATGCGTCCCTAGGCGATTGGTGACGTCATTGCTCCCAGATTTGGATGGTGTTTGTTGTGGAACATGTTACTGGGTTCTCCATTGGGTGTGGCAGTATGCACCGTTTTGGAACCCTGCATGCATCCTAAATTCCCAACCCCATAGGTACCGACCAATTTTGTGGTCCCGTTTTGTCCCCTATGCCATACCAATGAACATGGAAACTACATACAGAATCCGGTACAGAGCGGTTTGGGGTTAGCTTTTGGTAACCACACTCACATTTTGTAAGGTCGTGTAGACTTTGCCTAAGGTATTACAGTTCCTTTATACGGGCTAGCGATCGGCAATTACTACTAGCTAGCTACTACTACTAGTTGTATCATGGGTTATTGGTATTGCGACTACTGTAAAGCTTGGTTTGAAAGCAAGAGGGCACTAAGTGCTCACACCAACCAATCTCGGAGTTGCATTGCAGCAAGGCAGATTTCACTTGGCATTGGCAAAGCAACAAGAAGTACTAGTACTAGGAGAAAAAGAGACATGACTACTGCAGGGCTTGGTGCCACTGACACTGGAAGACCCGCTAAAGCACCACGGCAAGTTAGAAGATCTGCAGGAGAGGAGAGAGGCACATCAAGTCAAATGCCAGCCATTCCACAAGACATGGTGGAGGAAGATCAAATGCTTGGGCCATGCAAGATGGTGGTGGT